AGAGCATTTCTGCAGTGGCTCTGGCATCCCCTGGAAGCACGAGCTTGGCACAGCAGAGTCAGGTCACCCTAAGCCTCAGCAAATGGGGCTCAGCTTCCCTCTCCTTTGGTGCTTTGAAAACTTCATGTGCTGGAGGAGGGTTTAATTCAGTGAAATGCTGAGCACTTCGAAAGCATGTGAAATTGGGAGGCAGTCAGCCTCGGATGGGTGGAGTGGTGGGAATTGCAAATGATTTTGTTTAAACGGAGCCAAAAATTGCTTCCTCTCCTCTTCAAAGTCTGTAAGCCTCTGAGAAGAGTAAATTCTTAAAAAAGGCATAGCTTTAAAACCCCTACTTTTCCCCTTTTATTTCTGTCTCAAAATAGTGTGCCGATATTACAACAAATTAGCAAACGCCTTCTTTTACATTAATTTATTCATTGCAAAAATTTCCTCTAGCTCCTGCTCCTCATTCAGAATCTATTTTTATGGACATCAGGAACCAAGGAATTTGCAGTGATGTTTATACAGAATATATGAGCAAAACCTTCTTGTTGGGAAAGTTATTAGATAAATTTATAAGAAACCAAGGTTCACTGGGAAAACAGTCAGAATGTTGCTTTTGACTCCAGTATTGATTCATTGAGAATTAAAGTCTGTTCCTGAGTTTAATCCTCCTCCGCTTGCTAGTAAAAACGAGCAGCTGATGTGTGGGTGGCAAGCACAAGGAAAAGATGTGGAGCAGAGGCAGCTATGCTCTGCCATGCGCTGGGACTGAACAGCATTTCCATTAGCAATCCCCAGAAATTCGTGTGTTTATTTTCTGAAGGCTTCATCTGTGCCTGTGGCTGGGTGTGTGAAAATCCCCTCTGTATGTCACTGTAGCAAGGGCTGGCATGTTCTCAGGTCAGGAAAGCAAACATGCACCTCAAATCCATCTTCCCAGCCGGGGCTAAAATGCAGAATTCCATGAGCAGGGCGACCCGTGCAGCGTCAGCAAGAAGGGAGCAGAGGCGTTAATTCAACAGCTCCTTCCTCTCTCAGGATCAGCTTCCAAATCGATGTTGGCCTCCCTGCATATGCATGAGGAAAGATGCAGCAAGGCTTCAGCCTCGCTAGCAAACTGCTGCAACATCAGCATCGGCGGTGGCCGTGGGAGGGTCTGGGCATGGTGCACCATGGCCCTGGCACTGACCCCTCAGGGTCTCTGAGTGCATCTTCCTTGCAGAGGGGCCCCTGGAGCACTTCGGTGTCTGCTGGGAGTTCACTCCCCATCAGGCTGAAAGGCTCCTTTTCCCTGTGAGCTTTCCCTGTTCTCTGGGGATGGTGCTGGATTCCCACTTTACCCCCATGGTCTCTTTCACCGGGCAGTAGCAGCAACAAAAGCCACATGGTTTGCTGCCCCTGTTTAACATCTTTTTCAGGAGAGATCAGGTAGCTGCTGCTTTTTTTCCAGTCCTTGCCTCATTTTTAGTGGTTTGTGAATGATCCCATTATGCCCTGCTTGACATACTGAAAGGAGCTGTCTCCAGCAGATGCTGAAGGTGCATCCTCCAAAGAGTGTCAAGCCAATCTTAAAAAGCATTTCTAAGCACCCAGTATTGGGAGTAACTTTAAAAAAAATTGTTGCCAGGTTTGGGTGGTTGGTGCCGAGTTATGCAAGGGGGAGAGTCATGGTGTGTGTTTCTGAATGACCCCGGAAAGCTCTGCTCTGACCCTTCAGATTCAGGGTGTCTGTGTGACCCCACCACGATACCTGTGAGGATCCAGCTTCCTCAGAGCATTTCTTCACCGTTTTGTTCTCAGAATTGTCCTCAGTGTGTTGCCTCCAGCATCACACCCGTGGGAAGGGCGGTGCAGAGGGATTCCTCTCTGCAGTGTGCTTTCTAGTACAGCATCGCTGCTGACACCTGTGGTAGCAGCCAGCTGAGGACTAATGGTTTCCTGCATCTACTTTTAGCATTGTCTGCTACTATTGTTCACTTTTTGGAAAGGTTCAGCAGCTGGGAATAATTTCAGAGAGTCTGCCTTGCCAGATCCAAGGATATGAGTCCCACTTGCCATTGCCAGGCAGCTTTTAATGGCTAGATATAAAAGCTTTTCTCACCCAAGAGAGAAGTCCCAGATGGTATTTGAGAAAGGCTGGAGATGTGAGGCTTAGGCAGCCACTTGCACGGCCCTTGTGCTCTGGGAGCCCGAGTCTGCAGGGAGATTTGTTGACACTGGTGGTTACATCAGAGCTGGAGCCTGCTCAAGGATGTGTGGCTGTATCCCCTCGGCTCCCAGTGCTGAGCCAGGCAAGTGCTGCCTGCCTGGCAGGAGATAAATGCTCCTGAGCTGCTCCAGCACCACAGGGACCACGGGAGTCACTATCTCTTCCTCCTCTATACTGAACAATCAAACCAGACAGGCCACTGCTTGCAGCACCACAGGGACCACGGGAGTCACTATCTCTTCCTCCTCTTATACCACACAATCAAACCAGACACGCCACTGCTTGCGCCCAGTATTTGCGAAAGATGCTGAATGGAGAGGTTTAGAAGGAAAATTCCTGAGATTATCCTCCGAGCAGCATTTTTCCAGCCCGGTGTTAGTCAGAGCTGAATCAGAGGAGTCAGATCCTCTTGGCGCTCTTGGCTCCCAGCCTTTCCAACCCAAGTGCCAGTTAATACTAACACTGCAATGAACTCGGGCTCGCTGCGAGCCGAATCAAACACCCTACCTCAGTCACAAAATAAGCAGGATATTCTTTGGACCGGGGCAGATCAGACACTGTGAAAACATCAGAGCCCTGGCACACAGCTGATGCCTCTGAAAATGACATGCCTTTCCAGTGTCTGATTGCTTGTTTTGAGCTCTGCTGATGAAGATGGATGCAATCAGGGAAGGCATCCCTGGTGAGCAACAGGGGATATAAAATCAGAAGCCATTTTCCACAACTTGATGGTAAGTACTGTGCAGTTCCTGGATCTAAAGAAAGCAAAGGCTGAGAAATTTCTTGATGTAGTCTCCTACTAGTTTGCTACAGGTCTGTGTCAGAGGTAAGGTTTCAAAAAATCTCCTTTGAGCTTTTAATGGGCCAGAACAAAAACATTTCTTTGCTGCCTATACAGCAATAGGAGAGAAAATGCATGCCACTGTCAAAAAACCAGTCTCTTTTTATTCCTGTGAAACTTTATATCATCTGAGTATGTTTTATGACCAAAACCTCACTGGTAGGAATCTGGCTTTATGGAGCACTAACACACAGTTGTGTCCACACTCTGAGAAATGCTGTTTATCTGCAATGACCATCCTGTGGTATTACCTCTTGTTTCGTTCTTCCACGACCGCTCCAGCAGAGCCTAACGACTGGGTCTGCAGATCAGGCTGTGTAATAATCACTAATAAATCCTGGCATTTTAATGGTGACTGCTCTACTTTGGGTGCACCTCTAGTAATGTTTCTTTGAAAGAGCTCTGGCTTATCCAAAGTTGATGGTTAATGCTGTTAAAATGTCAGACACGTGCAGCCTGGTTCTGGCACAAATTCCATGGCGACGGCGCTGCTCTCTGATAATGCAGATCATTCAAAGTTATAGCACTGCTAAGTGCATTCCTCTCTTCCACTGCTCTCTAACAGCGTTTCAGCACCTGATAGACTCTACCAAGCCCTGAGCCTATGCTGTTTCCAGAGCTCAGGGCTGTCAAATACACTATACCAAAGCAAACAAACATTTCCCTGGCAAAATATTTCCCGTAAAATCTGCTCCTAGTGCTATTTTTACTGCAATCACTGGATTACATGTGTTTTGAACCTATCATTGTACTTTGAGCTGTGGCACCTTTATGAACAGTACAGATGTGTTTTACATATAAAATTTGCTCCAGAATAAATCCTGGCTTCTTCCATTCTTTTTCTTGTGTTTTTGTTGTTGTTTTTGTTGTTTTTTAACAAGTGACATGGAAAATAACATTAATTTTTGCCCTAAAGAAATTGGGGTACCCTGGAATTGTTTTCAGTGGGGTTTTTTTTGTGTTGAGATAAACTGTGTGATGCATACATTTATCCTGTTTCATCAGTGAGATGTGACATGACAGCTACAAATAAATGTCTTTGATATTCCCCAGACACTGGCTTATATGATAAAACCTAAAGACTCCAAGGACTGCATGTGAATTTTAAACAGTGCCTTATGAATACAGAAGTGGGTGTCCTTGCCACCCTGTGAATACACATGTCAATAAATTGTCATGAGCCTGGGGCAGAGCTGCAGAATCAATCACTGGAGACCAGAGAGAATCACATTAATTCTAACTTTGACTTTCATGACACTGCTTGTTTGTTTTTGCTGGGGGTTGGCTACGGAAGAAACAAAAACAACATTAGGTAGACTGGTTTCAAAAGCAGCTTTTGGTTTTGCAAGAAAATTCTGAGCTGGCGCACTAAATAGACAATATTTTCTTAGATCTGAAATCTAAGAAACTGTATGCTTCAGGTTGGAAGTGTGAGTATGGTTTATCTGGGGGTTACACAAAACACCAATGCTAAAAATGTGTGGGTATTTTGCGGGGAGAGAGGTGCCACTGAAAGGTTACTCCATGAAAATTTGTCACTCTGCAAACGCCTTCTCTGTTGTGTTTCATTACTTTCTAGCACATGTGAATATTCAGCCCTAGAGTCCTGACACTGGATGTGTTTATGCCACATTCCTGAGGCGTTTTTGGTTACAGCTGGTGGCTGCTTTCTGAGTGTCTATTTGGATTCCCGAGTGGGTTGATCCTAAACCAAACAAAGGGTGAGGAGCTGCCCGTGGCTCCTTGCTCTGTTCAGGCTGGTCCTGAATCAGTGCAAAGGTGTTTTCAGCCATTGAACTGAATGGGAGTGGAGGTGGTCTGGCATAAAACTGGATTTAACTTCTTCTTTCTCTCTCTTTTTTTTTTCTTTTGTGCAGTGAATGAGCTGAGAAAAAAAAAAAAGTGACATTTTCTTGATATTCTTTTTTCACAGTTATCCATACAGAGAGTTGAAAATCCTGAAGAATGGCTCTACCTACCTCCAAGTGTCTGGCTGGAAGTTTGGGGTTTTTTCTGTTCGTAGTCTCTTCAGTAAGCACAGGTAAGTTTTCTTGCCATGGGGAAAAAGGATATGGTTTGTAATGCTATTTTTAATAGGTTTAAATTGATCAGCTTTTCACTCTTTGTATAAAAAGAGTCAAGGACAGAATGAAAAAACTGAGGTGAAAAGCAGTTTTCTGGTGTGCCAATATATGCAGTCAAGGGCAGCTGGAGTGGCAAAGACTGAAATTTCTGAGCAGGTGAAAGTACCCTCAGCAATGCCTCAAACTCTGCCACACATTCTTAAACCAAACAAAAAACCCAACAAACTGCCACCAAAAAAAAAAAAAAAAAAAGCAAAAGAAACCTCAGGTCTAATAGCTGTGGCTGAGGGAGGTGAAGGCGAACATTCTCCTGCATTCCTCAAGCCCAGATGTGGAGAGCAAAAAGCCCTGACCTGGGACATCCCTGTCCCTTGGGTTTTGTCTCTTCCAAGCTGTTTTTTTTTACTAAGCATTTCAGGGAAGGAGGAAAGGGGAGCTTGATTTACATATTCTATACAGAGCTAATTTGGAGGTTTGTATTTGTTTGGAACAAAGAGACCATATGTCTTGCCCCAAACACTGCAGCTGCATGAAGCAACCTCTCATTGTCATGCTCAGGCCCTTTTGGTCAAGAAGCAAACATTCAGTTAATTCCTTGTGCTGGGTAGAATTTGCACTTTTATTTCAAAAATGACAATGAAAGCAGTAGTCAAGCTGTCAAGGTAACTGGAGCAGCTGGCAGAAGATGCTCAGCCTGATGGTGCCATTGGCACAGCAGATGCTGGTGATGTGCAAAGTTCCTGCTACAAATTGGTTAATGAAATTGGGAATTTGGGTCCTCTGCTTCTGGTTTGTTGGCTTTTGCTGTTTGTCATCCCAAACACCAACTGAAATTCCTCCTGATTTCCCCTTAGGCTTCCCTGTGTGCCTCTCTGTTTCAAAATAATGAGTTTGGGGCACGAGTCATTTTTTGAGACTGCAGGAAGCTCCTTGCATCTTCAAGTAAATGGAAAAATTAATAAGATTTTTATCCTTTACATTTGAATTGATTAATTAAGGTATAATTGATAAATTATACCTTTACATTTGAATTGATTCTCTTGGTTTTATATCACTTATCATGAGCAAATTTTCTCTATTATCTTTATTCTCAGGGAAATAACAGATTTTTATTTATTTTTAAATTGTTGTCAGTGTGTATTGCAGTAATATTTGAACATCTATTTACAATGCAAGCCCCATTCCCTGTCTAAAATATTTATCTTTTCTAACTTTTATTAATTCTCTGTGGCTTCTGGTAGGAAACCAGAAAAACCTCCTCATTTTTCTCAATTACTGTAAATCAGAGGGAGTGCCTCTGACATTATTAACACAATTCCAGCTTCCAGCTGGCACAGTGGTATCAAAATCAGGTCCTGGATGTTTATCTGTATCTGACTTGCTGCCTGGTAGATTATTGGCCCTTTTTGATTTACTTCATGTATATGGGAAAAGTTTGCAGAGAGACAGGTCTATGCAGCCCACAGGAAACATCCCTCACTCACCTTGAAAATTTATATTTATTGAGCCTCTGGAGACTTTAAATCTATGGCTGGTCCAATTCTCTTGTTTTCTTAAGATATGAAGCTGGTGGAGGAATGTGAAGGGAAACTGAATGCAGATGGACAGATTTTGTTTTTGTTGAAGTGGAATTACAGATGTCCTTCAAGTTCCACGGTGGCGGCACAAAACAACTGCCCGTCAACTGCACCAGTAGCAGGAAATGTTTCCTTGCTTGGATTCACATCATTGTCTTTTCCATTACCTGGAGGCATTAGTACCTGTGGGGCAAAACCCACCCAACTTTACTATACCAAGCTCCAGAGACATAACCCTGCTGAGGTCAAGGTTTAGCCCATGCCCATCATCATTGATTTGCTGGTGCTGTAGTTTTCTCCATGCTGGTTTTGTTTTAAGGGATAAAAACGGTAGAGCTGGTGAGAACTCCCAGCCCTTTCTGAAGGCAAAGGGCTCATTGTTCAAACTTCCACTGACCTCAGCTTCCTAGGATTAGAAAGGGTTCTACCCTCAGAAAATATGCACCACACAAGAGACTCTCACTCACAGTTTTGTTGATTACAGTAAGACACGAGGCTCACATATCAGCTGAGGTGGTACCAGGGAAATATTTTATCTGAAATAAATAGTTGCAACACGAGACTCTTGCATGTGGTATGAGAGCTGTTCAGACTAACACGTCATGGCAGCCCATCATCAAATTTGTGTGTGGAGACTGCAGATGTGTGATCCCAAAGTGAATGAATCCTTATTGCTTCTGCCTGGAAAAGCTCACAAACCCAGACGCACTTGTGAGGATCCTGTTGCTCTCTGTTACTGGATTACTCTGTACTGGTAATTGCTTGTGTTTCCATGTTAGTTTGATCTCTTTTTCTTTCTATCTCCAGTGCAAATTTTCAGTGAAAACATATTTTAACATCTTTATATTAAACAAAGCAGGTTTTTGGGGGCATTTTTAAAGGTAGTAGTAGTTTTATCCTTTTTTGAACACCTTCCCTGGGCTTTGTGTCTAGATGGCATGAACAGAGCTAAATGTCACTGCAGGAAGGGCTCAGTGAAAGTCCCTTTTCAGTAGTTTTCTAGAAACTGCATCCCCTGCAAGGCTCCTTTGCCTTGGGTTTTTCCATTCTTCCAGAAAACAGAAAAGCATACAGCTTAAGCTGTTGTTTGTTTTCTTTTGGTTGTGACCCACATGTACCCTGCTGCACTGAGGCATTGCTGTGTTCCAGGGAGTCAGCCAAGAGGCTGATGCTGAACGACACTGTAAAGATGCCCAGGTGCAGAGCTTCCTGTCTCGCTCCAAACAAACACTGATTGTCCTCACTCTCCATCTTTGCCCAGCAGAAGCAGCTGTCACATGTCCTGACAGAGAGCCTGAGTTAGAAATCTGGAACCCGGGTCACAACGAAGAAAACCGCGTTGAAATCCGCAGTGGCAGGAAGCTGCTGCTCTCTTCTTCTGCCACTGTCCACTCCATCCACATCACTGACGGAGGTAAAACCTGCTGCTGGCAAGGCTGGCTGCACTCTGCTCATCGCTGGGACTGTTTAAATCACTGTGGATCATGCTGGGAGAGCTTCTTGCTTCTTGCTGAGGAGTGGGTGGCGACTGGGCAAACACAGCTTTACCTCAGTACGGGGCTGGGTGGCAGCTGAGGAGCTGAGATTCTTTAGCCATTGTTACCTGCCTCATTTCTGTCCTGTCTGGAGAATTTACACAAGTAGCTCAGTGTAATGAGTAGTTCTACTTCTGCGATTTGCTTCAAAAACATTTTTTTTACCAAACCATTGGCCTGATGGCATCATACTGCAGTAGTTGTGTTATCAGGGCCTCAGGACAGGGCAGATGCTCATGTCCCTCTTTGTCTCCAAGGACAGAGCCATAGTGTTGCTGGCAAAAATAGCTTTCATTCATCTTAATTCTAAATTTCTGTCTCAGTTTTGAATGGGTCTTCCATGTCAATCTTATTTGCACTTGTCAAGAACTGGACTAAATAAAAACCAATGTTTTCAGGATTGGTATTGAGAGCTGTTTTGGGGTGTATGAACAGAATTTTTCAAAAACTGAGATGACAGCCCAGCATTGTGTTTAGCACAATGATACCACAACCCAACATGAGCTGCTGGGTAATAAAGCAAATGTCATAACCTTCTCTGCTTAGGAAAACTGGTCATCAAGGATGATGTGCAGCCCATCATCCTGCGTACAAGACACATACTCATTGAAAATGATGGAGAGCTACACATTGGCAGTGAGCTGTGCCCTTACCAAGGCAATGTGGTTATCATCTTATATGGGCGGTACGTATGCATGATAAAATACTGCCTTAGAACCTTCTGGCATCTCTCTTCCACATCAGGGAATGAAAATGTTCCTTAAAATTACATGTTCTCAGGTATACTTATCATCAGTGCTCTGTGGAAAGTTCAGTAATTTTTTAAACAATTTAAGTGGCCCACAAAAATTGATTCAAGTTTGGGATTTTTTCTCTTCTACTGGGATAAGAACACTGGGGGGGTTTGGGCATGCTAGAGAATCAGCATGCACCTTCCCACAACTCAAACTGATTTTCCAGAATAGGCTTAAAACCTGAGGAGTTATTTTTGTCTGAAAGTTCTCTTCTCTAAACATCCTTTCTTTCTGTATGGGAGCTGTGAGCTGAAGGATAATACGCTTGTCTTGCAGATTGGTACAGGATCTCTTAAAATTTCAAGGATGCTAAATTAATATTTAATAACCACTGGACCTCTTAGCTCCTGATTAGGGTCTTGCCTGCCTCCGGAATTCAAAAACACAGATGTGCCATTCAGCCTGGGCTCCAGGCCTCCTCTGGCCTGGATATAATCAATGTGGCATGTATAAGCTATGTTCCAGAGTGCTTTTGGTCTTTGGTAGCTGCCACTATTTTTAAAGATAATTTATTTTCTGTACAACGTGGGTAGCTCCTGATTCTTGGAATACCTGAAAGAAATGCACAGCACACCATGGGACTTCTCTCCTTGGGTCATGGCAGCACAAGGAGAGAGGTTCTTTGACTCAGATACAAACCCAAACCTGGTCACTTTTCCTCCCTTCTGCTTTAGAGCGGATGACGGCAGCCAGCCAAATCCTTACTTTGGACGGAAGTACCTTGGAGTCAGCAAAGGAGGCACTCTTGAGATCCATGGAAAGAAAAAGCTGTCCTGGACTTTCTTAAACAAGACTCTCCATCCTGGTGGCATGGAAGAAGGTGGATATTACTTCGAGAGGAGCTGGGGCCACCGGGGTGTCATTGTCCATGTCATTGACCCAAAGACAGGGGCAGTTGTCCACTCAGACCGGTGAGTGACCTTTTGGCTGCCTGGATGTGAGGATCCTGCAGAGCACGTTGGGGACAGCATCTCAGCAAGCTCAAACACACACATTTCAGCATCTTGTTCAAATGGGTGTAATTGCATGAATGTACAATTCCTCCTAGACCAGCCATCTCCAAAACCAGAGTGTGAGCTGTGTTATACCTTGCAGTTTTTCAATTAGAGTTTAATCAGTTTGGTTTAACAGAGCCCTCTAACACACCCTGCTAGACAAGAGCTTTTGCAGCAGGGTAATGTTACAGTGAGCAATACAAAAGAGTACTTTCTTTATAGCACTTGCTTTTCAGTACATAAAGGTGTGGTGAATGCTGCAGTAAATGTTTATGGGTGTTTTTGATCATTTCAGGTTCGATACCTACAGAGCAAAAGAGGAAAGTGTCCGCCTGGCTCAGTACTTGGGCAGAGTTGCAAATGGCATGATCCTGTCGGTCGCGGTGAATGATGAAGGATCCAGAAACTTGGATGACTTGGCCAGGAAAGCAATGACCAAACTGGGCAGCAAGCATTTCCTCCACCTTGGGTTTAGGTATGTGCCAGTCCTGCCAGTTCTCCCAGCACAGAGGCTTTATTATGTTCCTGAGATGTCCAAATAGTTCCACTCTTTCAAAGTCACAAAGTTCTTTCACATGGGAAAAAAAAAAAGTAAAAAAAGAGGGAAACTTCTCAATGTGCAGTTTTAGCAGTTAATTAGATAGCTTCAGATGCACTTAGAGTCTATATTGGGTACTTTTATTAGCAGATTGAGGAATAGCATATGATTCACATTAAAAAAAGATGGTTTTTCAAGATATTGTTCCCACAGGTTGTTATTCCAATTTATTTTCAAGCCATCCCCCAAAGATTTAAGAAGCATATTTACACACACACAGAGGATTAGATGGGCTGAGCATTAAGGAGGGTACAATAATTGCTGTGTAGCCCTGGCTACATACATACAGACACACATACAGCACATTGCTCAGCTTGTCCAGTGCAGGTCTGGGGACTTGTGCAGCACAGAAATTTAGCAAACACGGATTTATGGTGTGGACTGTAAATACTTCTGTGGCCAAAACAGTGTCTGTGTTGGCACACAGACTGTTGAGAATACTTGCTATTTACCCAACTGTACCCATTATATTTTTTGTGTTTATCTGGATTTATGTAGGCTTTTTTTATGAGGAACTAAGAGGGTGTCTGCAGAACACACACACACACACACACACACACACACACACACACACACACAATCTGCCTTGTAGGGAGAAGTGTTTCAATACAGTAGTTTGTGGAAAGAGACATCTGTCAGCTGGGCACACACAGATGGAGCAAGATCTGGGATGGCTGATGAAGAGGCTGTGTCAAAAGTTGCAGGGGCTCCTGGGCACCAGACAACACATTTCAAAGAATCACCAAGGAGGGCAGAAATGGTCTCCAAAACCAGGTTACCTCCATCAGTGCAATTCTTGCTCTCAAATCTAGAGCCCCCATTAGAGCCCAGTAGCCTGCTGGGTGTTTTTTCAAATGCTGGAATTAGGGAAACAGAATGTGGTTTTTGAACATTATGCTTTTTTCCCCAGTGATGCTACAGGAAGGAATTGATGGTTTTTACATATGTTTATAAAAGTAAATAACACTTGATTTTTTTAGGCTGCTGTGGTGTTTTAATGCAAGCTTCTCATCATTTTGCCATCATTGTTTACAATGGGAATAACACAGAAATTCATCCATGGAAGTGTGACTTTCAGTGTTGCTATTGTTTGTGGTCAAAAGGCTAATCCTTGCCATGCTGTTATCTGAAATGCCACAAAACTGTATTCCATGAATTATAGAGACATGTGGATAAATAATGAGGGAGTAATTGGTCAACACTGTTTTCCACCAGCATACTGGTGCATGGAAAAATATCTGGTGCATTATTTAAAAGAATATATTTATAGGAGTGTTCTCAGAGTTTAAGTTCATCAGTTCTCAAAAACCACATTGTCTGGATGGCAGCTGGGGCCAGACTTAGCAAGGCAGTTTGATGGCACAGTGGAACACAGGCAGCCTTAGGTTTATTCAAGCTTTTCCTCTAAAGCAAATTGAACTTCCACTTCAGTGTAACAAGATTTAGATATAGTGGTTTACATTTCAGATACATCTATAGCTATGAATAAGGATGTATGCACTGGACAGGTACTTTTGGAAATTTTTTTTTAGTATCTCAGAAAAAATTGTTCAGAATGAGAAAATTACACATGTGTGTCCACATATTACCCTCTGCAGCCATGGCAGGCTCTGACTGAGGAGAACAGATGGATTTTTCTTGCTAACATGCCTGTCACTACTCACTGCCCAGCACTGGGGTTTGCTGGCTGGTCCTGCTGAATCCAGGCTGTCAAATCTCAGCTCCTGATGATGGCTGGGGCTGGCCTTGGGCATCCCTGAGAGAAGAATAATGTAATTCAGTTGTAGATTTTGTTGGTTTCTGGAGGGGGTGTTGGTGGGGGTTAATGGGCAAATTCCTCTCCATCTCCACTTGCTCAGTATTCAAACAGATTGTGAAGTTGTGCAACTCCCCCTTGCTGTAGCAGATCCGATGCACAAGGCTGATTTATTCAGAAATGTTTCTGTGCTCCTGGAATCTCTTTTAATTGCCTGTTTGCTGAGTCCAGAACATTAGGAATGAAAGGAAAATCTTGCACTCCTCTCCTATTGTTTTTCTTCTGAAAAGTGTGTTTACTCTTTCAGTGTGAGCCATTTTTTTCCCCTTTTACTAATAAATTAAGAGAAAGCCTTTTTGCACTTGATGACATAGTTATTCTCTTTGGAATTCCACACAAATATCTCCTGCTTGGCTCTGGACTTTCTGGTCGCTTCATTTCATACAGCCCAAACAGATTGCATGTGTCCTTATGTGTCAGGGTTGAACGACTTTAAAACTATTTTTAGTGGTAAAATAACTGGGAGAAACAAGTATTTTAACACATGAAATGGGGCCAAACCTTGAGCTGCAGAATAACTCCTTATCCTTTAAATTTTTTTCGAGATTATTTTTGAGGCATCATAATTTTTTGTCATTTGTTTCAAATTTGGTTTACCAAAATAATAATAATACTAATAACAAAACAAAAAAAAAATAATCTATCCTGACTGCTGAGTGATAAAGTGTCCTTCCTGCTCCCATCCCCCTTCTCTCCCTGGATGGAGATCACAGCCCGTCAGTGCCTTCGGCACTTGGCACGAAGGCAAATTTTCCAGCAGGAGCATCTGGCTCGCTGGCAGGCTCCCGAGGCAGTGGTGCTGGCAGCTCCCACCGAGCCTGGCCAGGGCTGGGGCTGAGGACACACTGGGACAGTGTCCCCTTGAGCAGCCGTGTCCCCTGGGGCCATGGCATGGCATGGTCTGCACCAGCGCTCACCCTGAGCCTGCCCCGGCTGCCCCCAGAGCTGCACACCCCAGCCAACCCCAGCTCGTGATCTGGGCGTGTTTCAGTGCCTCTCTGTCAATGGCTGTACGTGTTTTATTCCAGAGTTCCAAACCAGAGTGGTTTGGAACTTCACTTGCACCAATGTAAGGTGACCTGCAAGACTTTTGATGCAAGTGAAATGACCAGATATTTATAACTATAGAGACATGACCTAATCCATGGGAGTTTTTGGTAATTCAGGACAGTCTTCCTGCACCCTAAAAGCATATTTTTTATTCTCTTACTCATTAAGGGCAGATATGCCTGAACTACTCCTACTTTGAAGACAAAAACCTTCCCTGACCCCCTCCTAACTGGGTTCACCCCCAAGGTTGGGAGGCACTTCAGTCCCTGTCTCCATTGCTTTCTCATCCTCCAGGGTGGCTGATAGCTATTGAACCCACTTGATCAAAAACCATCAGATGATAATGAACTGAATTCTGACATGGGATCAGATTTGAACAGAAAATTCAGAGCTGTGAACCTTTATCAGTGGTCAATGTTCAATGTTCAAAGAAGGAAACTAGATATGCAGAGACTAAGCAGTTTTTACTGCCCTTTGCTAGCCAGTCTGTCTATTAGAAATTCTCATGGGTCATTCCAAAGACAATTGTCATATACAAGGTTTCAGCATGAGCTAAATTTATTTAAGTAGAAGTGGCTTCTTTTCATATTCTTCAGTGTATACACATGTACACACACACAGAGGATTTATTTTCAGGCTCCCCAAGGAGTTGCCAGTATCTCTTGGGTCTGTCATACACAAGTTTCTTTAAACACTCATTTAAAAAACAAACACACTTGTTACAGGCATGTTTTAAGTGGGGATTGTCTTCAAATTTGCTTCTCTTCTGATATATTTGCTGAAGAATTATAGAGTGTTAAGATAATATTAATTTTAACTACACTGCCTCTGACACTAATGAGACTGTTTTGGATGTGGTGCCTCTGAGAAATTTAGGAACATTGGGCTATAAGAAATATGCATCTCATACTTGACATTACTTGATCATTTCTCATTTTCATTTTCCAGGCACCCATGGAGTTTTATTACCATTAAAGGAAATCCCTCCTCTTCTGTTGAAGACCACATTGAATATCAAGGTATTTAATGCACAAAATGCTGTCTTGACGTGATGTCTGGGAGTTACTGGAGTTATAGCTGAGATGAATTTGGCCAATGGTGTTTTTACTTCCCACTGCATTATATCGAAGCCATGAGCAGTTGGTGGTTTGACACATTTAATTGAATGTTCTCTTTATATATTGCTTCTTCCCACTAATGCATCTGGAGCAGATGAGTGAGACATAGCTGAGGTTATCCAAACCTTCAGATAAAAAGTGAGATCCTGCACCAGTGTAAGTCCATGGAACTTCACTGAGCTCAGTCACTGCCTCTCTTATGACACAAATCTGTGGAACAGACCCAGTTCACACCAGCTGAAAATTTAATCAGTGTATCCTGAATTAGTAGCCTCAAGTTCTCCTGTGAAACCATTTTCTTGCAAGCTGAACACTGCTGAGTCTCTGTCTTCTCATGACATGAATAACACAGCTTGCTACAACATTAAATAAAAATAACAACATATGACGAATAATTCTGGGCTTTATCCTCTCTTGATTTTTGAAAGTTTTTCTTCCTCATTATCCATGCAGTTGCAAAAGTGTCTGAAGCCTCATTGCAAGATTAGTAAATTTCTCTGGAAGTAGTGCAGGACTAATTTTGAATAATGTAGTCAAAGTATACAAATATGCACAGAGACAATTATTTTCAGTTCTTACTCTTATCAACTGCATTCAATGATTTTTCCAACTGATTTCAATGATTTTACCAATGTTTTGGGTTTTTTAACAGGTCACAAAGGCTCAGCTGTGGCCAAAGTATTCAAACTATTCAAAGCTGAGAATGGAGAACATTTTAACGTCTCTTCAACGAGCGAGTGGGTTCAAGGTGAGAGGTCTGTGGGCTTTTTCACTCAGTGCTAGACAGCTGACAAATAGGGTGAATCATCCTTTTTCCTGCAATCCTTTTCCATTTGGGAAGAGTGGACTTGCTAGCTGCTATTTATGTCACACTAAACCAATTAATGAACACCCACAGATTCTTTCCCCCGTTGTCTCTAGGACCCTCTGAATAACTGGGATCCTTTTTCCTTTTCTGCACTGGGTATGAAATTCCATCTCCTATAGTCTCAGAGATCACACACAACCTCTTCTTTTCACTGCACAGTCATCATGTCCATGTTTCAGACAACACACAGTAGCTGGTGCAACTTGATCTGGAGATCAGAGAAGGCAGCTAAGGCAGACAGAGATCCAAAATCTGTATCTATTAATAATGCTTATCTATATCTATAATAATGCTTACAGTGCACACGCCAATTATGAAGCCTTTAATAACTCTGCTCTCCCCTGGCTGGTTGCACTTCACAGCATCACTAAAAGTGGCTGACAGGCTGGCAGGAAGAGGCATGAATCAGATCATCAGTGAAGAAATTGTGAATGATATCCGAGATCATATTATGCTTCGTGCATTTTTGCTGCACTCATTAAGCTTGACTTTCAAATGACAATACTTGTTTGCACTTGTCTCCAGATGTAGAATGGACAGAGTGGTTTGAGAAGCCTGACAAAGCGAGATCTAAGGACACGGAGAAGCTGTCTGACTTCAAAGCTGCTCATCCTGACAAAGTATGCAGGCAGCCCATTGACATCCAGGTAGGCAGGCTTACCACTCACTTTAGAGGGACAAGTCTTCTTTGGACTGGCACTGAACCCCCAAAATAATTGTGCTTGTCAGTAATTTTTGTTTCTAAATAAAATACACCAATTATTTTACCACTCTAATACATAACCAACAAGATCTTGTATACAGTCTCGTATTGTTCTGGGACAAATTTAATAGAATTGAGTTCCTTTCAGTAAATTCCAGCTCCTGGCATGAAAAGGTGTACAGATGGGTCATGGACAGCACAGATGCTATCATGAAATATGTGATTCCCTGCTGGAAGATTAAAAGGAGCAACCACATGAAAATTTCAAAGGTTTTAAATGGTTTTGGAATGGACCCTACCTAAAAAATTTATCACAAAATGCAACAAGACAGTGCAACTACCAGCTGTAGCAGGTTGTCAAAAATATTGGTGAGCTTTCAGCCATTTCTTGGAACCAATTGTTTCATCTCTGTGGAAAGAAATTTGAATTCTGTTTGGAGCTAAGCATTATAATTATACCATCAGGCCAGCATGCTGAGGACCACTGATACCTTTTCTGACCCTGCAAAAAACCTCTTTAAGGACAAAAAAGCCTGGCAAGAAATGAGGGTATTTTTTTTAATATGTGCACCATATACTTTTTATGCCTACCTATAGCAGAAGCATTGCCTAGAAAAAGACAATAAAATCCTTCACATCTGTGTGAGGCTGAGCCTGAGGCTCCTGTGTGCTCTGAGCCAGTGGAGTTGCTCTCATTCACAAGAATGTGGCTATTGAAGTAAATGGGAATGCTGACTGTATGAGTGAAAGTTTCCAGGGCTAGATGTTATAAAGGATGTCTCTTGAACAGAAAGGAAAAAACTGCCCTATAATTTTCTGCCAGGTTTTACCAAATCCACATTCATTTCTGCTTCCATATACGTGTATTAGAAGCGACAGCTTAGTTCAGAACAGGGGTCAGATGTTCCTTACAATACATCCACTTCTAGAATGCATGTTAAAACAAAAAGAAGATATTCTTCTGCTCTAGAAAAAAAAATCTTTTTTTTTTCCCTCTTCTGTGAAATAAGTTGTTGTGTTTGGTTGGTTTTTTTTCCCCCATGTATATTAAAAGTGAAACATTTTTCAGTTTATCCTGCAAATCTTAGGGCAAATCCTTAGGTAGTGTAATCTGGTACTGCTCATTGCTTTTATAAAGCTGCACTGATTTATAGCAGCTGGCCTGCCCCAGCTCTGGAACATGGGAGAAAATTGAAGATATGATGATAATAACAGCAGAACAGCACAGCCAGAGGCACATTCCTCCAGCTGACGGTGCTAATCCCACACACAGCAGCAGGGTGGATTCATTAATAAGGAAAGCCTGCATGAGTGAGACAATCAGGATCAGACCCTTCATTGAAAGATGGCTTTTCTCCTGGTGCCTTGCCAAAATGCACGTGGTATTTGGATTGCCCCATGCAATGCGCCACATTTTTGTGAAAGGGTCGAGAGAAATGTAAGCTCTGGAGACAGAATGTGAAATTTGACATGACCCTGAGACGTTGCCCCAGCAGGAACAGCAGAGAGGTTTCATATCTCACTGCTTCTTGGCATGATACAGCCTTTTTTCTCAAGGCAGCTCTTTTCTCACAGGCTGGTACTTGCCTGTGAGAAAAGGCCACTTTCTCCTTGTTTCTTTTGGAACAGGCAGCAGTGTTGCAGCACCCTTGGGGTTTTTTTTGAGAGACTGATCCATGCAATGGAGAAATAAAACCCCTAGCCCCTTTCTTCTGCAAGGTTCAGACAGAGCCTAGCCACCAGCAATGGAATGAGCGCAGTGCAGAGGCTTGAAGCCATGAGTTCATCTGGGCGCAAGCATCTGAGCTCAACGTTTCCATCTGCCCTCAAACCAGTGGCAAGAGAAAATCTAGGGCACCGAGGCAGCTGTTTGTGAAGCTCACAGACTCCTCCCAAAGCAGCCCCTGGTCTCATATAGACACAGGAAAAGGCGTGCACCTCAGCAGTGGCTGTGTGTGAGCAGCAGCTGGAAACGTTGGCTGGAGAGCCCAGGCACGGGGGTTTGCTAGGCAGTGCTTGTGCCGTCACCCAAAACAAAGCAAAGGCCTCTTCTGATGGCTCAGATGTTTTGGTGAAATCCCTTCACCTCACAGCAGCCCCTGAGTTGTATTTCCATCCTCGTTGCAGGCGATGACGCTTGACGGGGCGGATTTAACCACGGAGGTTTTCTACAAGAGCAGCCACGATTACCAATTCCTGTGCCATGGCAAGGACCAGACCGGCCAGGGCTGCCACAACTACAGAGTCAGGTTCTTGTGTGGCAAATCTGGTATGTGCCCTCTCTCTGAAAGCCAGAACTGAGAACAGCAGAAATCCTGTCCTCCCATGACTGACTCCTTCTTGGTATCTCAAAAACTTCTGTAATTTTTCCAAGCTGAAGGTTTGTGCTGGGCTATGGACACGAACTCAGATAGAATGGCCAAAGATTTATCTCAGGAAAAATTCCTGAGAATTTTTATATAACAGAATAACAAAAGCAGCAGGGCGGTTTTTCAAATGCCCAGCAAAGCTGTGAGAAATATTTGGCAAGTTCTTTCATGTAAATTCCTTGTCTTTTGCAAAAACATTTTGGGATGACATAGGATTAGTCAATCAGAACGTGTGAAGACAACAGGGTTTGAAACTGTCATTTTGTAGTTAATCATTCCAACACCGCTGTCCTTACCGTGGTCATTAGACAGGTCATTAGGATTTTTGGAGCTGGCAGGAAAAGAAGGGTGGCACACTGTTGTTTTGCTGGAAAAAACCATCATTAGGTTAAAGACCACTTGACTGCTGTAAACAACAGCACCCAGTGCCCACAAGAGCGGCTGCTAAGTGGGTGTGGTGAGAATGAGCCACTAAGAGCTACATTTAAATTTATCCTGGGGTTAGTGGAAAATCTACCTGCCTGCAACTAAAGGCCAATACTTTCCTGTTTTCTTGCTCGCCAAGCCAAAGCCAGTAAAAAACATGTTTGAAGGAGTTAACTTTTTTTTTTTTTTCTTTTTAGCATGAGAAAATAATAACTTTTGGTGCACACCAAGGAGGGGTGGGGGGAAGAAAAAAGAAGGAGCAAGCTTTTTCTGATGGGATTGACTGACTTGCCCACCCTTGCATTTTGGGTTTTCAGTGAAGCCGAAGCTCACGGTAACCGTTGACACCAACGTGAACAGCACGATCCTGAATCTGGCGGATGACGTGAGCTCATGGAGACCTGGGGACAGGCTGGTGGTGGCGAGCACTGACTACTCCATGTACCAGGCAGAGGAGTTCCAAGTGCTGCCCTGTAGAACCTGCAGACCCACCCAGGTCAAGGTAGCAGGTGAGGTGCTTCACCTTATCACTCTGGCATTGCAGTTCACCAGTCATTTGCACTGAGGTGACTCCAAGAAGAACTGAAAAATGTTGAAAGACGCCTGAATTTGATGGCTGGTTGTTAGATGCTTTTGGGATATATAGCTTTCATCCTTGAAAACAATCTAACTTGATTTTGGTTCCTTTCTGCCTTCTCTTTTCATAGCTGATCCATTTTTTATCCCCAGGCATGCTATTGAGTGGGTGAATTTACTTAAGAAGAACAGATACAGGTTATGTATCTGAGATTTTCAATAACTGCATTTGAAATACCACTTCATAATAACTTAATTTGAAATACCTAGAAAGCAGATGAGCACAGCTGATGGGAAGAGGGAACTAGGGCAGGAGCAGACTGTGAGACACTGTAAGGCTATGAAGTAATTTCCAGCTGGCTGCTTTCCTAAGTTCTATATAACAAGAACTGTAATCTTACATTTTAGAAATACTGTTTTGTATTTCTGCTAGTGAAGCTACTGTTTCCCGTTTACTGTGTCTCCAGAGTATTGCTTAGAGGTGATGCCAAACATTTCTGGCAGCCAGTGAGTTGTCCTGAGCCTCTGCACTGGGGAGATGGAGTGGCAGGGTGCTGCCAGAACCAGCTTGAGAAGGAGGAGTGGGACCCTTTGTAGAGCCCCAGCATTTCTCTCTTGTAGGTGACCAGCTCAAGTGCAAAACAAATTGCTTTTGATTAATAGATTTTGTAGTCCAGTGATTGTAGAATGGCCTCTGGACACAGAATCCAATTAAGAAGCATAACTATGATGAAGCACAGGCTATTACCAGGATGAGCATAAAACTGAAATCCAGAGTGGGAGATTTAATCTTCACTTGAGTGTGTGAAGTTGTCTTTCCCTTCTGGAACCTTGTTTTGGCACACTGATAAGCAGACCATGGAAAAAGCACATGAACTGCCCCTTATCTGAATAGATGAGGATTACTTTGCTTCTATAATTTACAAAAGCAAACATTATTTTACAGTGTAAAAGTCTGTAGTAGATGAGGCTGTCTTTCAGAGGCAGCATCTGCCTGGTCGTAAATCATGCATCATAATTTATCTTTTTTGCATGCTGGCTGTTGCCCTAGGCAGAGGTCTTGTCTGCACTTACAGTAAGACCTTTCTGAGAAACCATGAGGGCACTTGGAACATCCTATGCACCAGGGAGTTCACTTGGTTCTCTGAAATGAACCACTTCAACAATATCTCTGATGCAACTTCTTCTGGAAGGTACCAATAACTTCCTTTGGCAGCTGCCTCCCTATGCAGCTTTGGCCATCCATTGTTGGAGATGTGCATTAGGCCAAGAAAAATGTTATTCACAGTCTGAATGTATCATAATCTTATGACTTCAAATGTCTAGTGCTTTCAAAGAAGATGCATTTCCAAGTTGAATATTTTTCTTGAGCAACTTTTGAGCTGTTGGACTCAGACTGGTATGATACAAGTCACATAATGAAGATGGTCTTGGAAGATTGCCAGTAAAAATAAAGATGGTGTAGGAGTCTTGGGCTTCCCATAATCTGATGGATCTGTGGAATTCATGTAGTTGCATTCATCTTCTGCAACAGTGGCAGCTAGGTTAGTTTAAGGAAACAAATAATGGATTAAAAACAACGAAAAAGTTCATGTGAATTTCAAGTAAAAAAGCAGTGGAAACACTTGTTAAAGCAATTGTGCTCTTGGTCTCTAGTTTCTCTTTAGGAGAATTAGGACATTCCTGTTATTACCACAAATGACATGAACACCAGGGCCAAAGTCTCTCCTCTCTTATATCCAGGCAACTCTATTGACGTCAATGGGATTTCACTGATTTATAAATCAAGGAAAAATTTAGTCCAATTTTAAAAATCACTTCCAACTTTCTTGTAACAAAAACACATTCTCACTAGAAAACAAAATAATCTGCCTGAGTCTAAGTTCAGTCTAGATGAAATAAAAGCTGGCAAGGCTGAGATGTCCCCTGCCTTTAGGGACCAGGAGGTCCCTGAGCTGCTCTGTGCCTGGCCATGGTGTAACTTCAGCCACTGCCCTGAGCCATGATGGATAATTAGCCAGAATAAGGATCACTAGTGGCCCCTGGACTCAGCACAGGTGAGCAGCCCTGGCACAGCCTGGCCTTGTGTGCCTGGCCAGGTTTGTAATTGGGTGTAGAAGCACATTCATCATAAATGTCTGCCTCCCTTTTGCTATGGAGGTAGGCAAGATTGCTTTGCTCCTTCTGAGAAAAGCCTTCCACACATACATTTATACACAGGATCTCAGAGGGATGTCATTTGTAATAAGTGAAAAGGCTTAATTTTCCTAAGAGGTTTAGTTTAGCAGCTGAGAACTCCAAAATTTTGCCCTTTGAAAGACAAATGATAAAACCATTCCTCCCCATGATGATTTATTTCCCTTTTAATCTTTATTTTTTTCTTTCTATTTATTTTTAAATTGAAACCTAAATGTCAGATCTGAACTACTTAAGAGTCTCTTTGTTATAAAAAAGGCAGAAAACCTCTGCTTTGTGGACAGCCAGTTTGGTGTGGCAGCCACTTGGCATACCAAGGTTTAATGTAATTTATGCTCTCATAATTTAATAGTATTTTAATAGACATGGTTTAGCATATTGTGCCAAAAAAGTCAAACTCATTAGTTAGCTCATGTCCTATTTATATTTGATATTTCCTGCTGAAACTCATACTTTCTTTACTGGCTAGAAATGGATTGATTAGAGCTTTTCAAAAGAACTGAAGGCAGTTAATACTCAACTGCCATCAGGTTCTAGGATGATTTAGTTATTTAACTATGGACATCTGCAAATCTCAGTGTAGAAAGTGAGGGAGGGCACACAGGCTCTGCTCTTTTGCACTTTTTACTGGAGTAACTGCCCTAATGTACAAACTGTGTCTCCCATGGGTGAGTGTGGTTTGCATGAGGACCCAGATCTGCAGGTCCTGCTCCCAGTCAAATGGTCACTCACTTAAATGGAGCTTTTCCCTCCTCTTGCTTTCTTTGTTTAACTCTTTTTTTTTTTTTTTTACTTGTAATTTTTTGTGCCTAGATTATTTTCACTGTGGGAACAGACTAAAACTGTTTGATCTTCCAACTTCACAAGGTTTGGGGAGGGACAGCAGTGCAGGGCAAAGGGAGGGAGGGAGGAAGGAAGGAAGGGTTGTGTTGTTATGATAGAACTGGATAGTAGGAAATATCTAGTATTTTGTCTAGTTTCTCTGGGAAACAAGTCTTATCTTCATCTTGGTTGCTCTGTATGAAGTTTCTACAAATGCTGATAAGTTTCACCATGGAACAGAAATGATGAAGTGCTCTTTTGTGCTCCTATATGCTCTTGATAAAGGATGAAAAAACTATTCGTGCCTGGCATAATTGCTCCAATTATCCCACATACTGGTGAACCTATGAATTCAAGCACACATCTCTTAAATCCTGCTTATTGGGTTGCAAATATTAGAGAGATAAGGAGTTTACTGTGATCTTGTTCATGCAGAGAACTTTGAATTAAAAGTATAACTACGTAGTTGTCTCACAAATTCACAGCCTGTGTCAGCACTCATCTGGTGCTGTAAGGATGGGAGAATTTACTCCACTATCAAAATTCAGATATTTTTAGAGATTTCGGTTGTTCTGTTTAGAAGTTGGCATCATTTTGGCTGGAACTTGACAAAAGCTCTTTTTTTTTAAGGCAACCCCGATGCTTGAGGGCAGGGCAGGGAATCTTTTGAAATGGTCATTTCTAACAGACTTTCAGAGCTCCTTCTACCTTGGGGCAGTGCCTGGGAGCTGAGCTGACAGAATCTCATTCAGGTTTACATAGAAGTTCATGAGGGTAGAGTTTGTGCCTGATTGCTGTTATGTCTATTTGCTGAAAACTTAATTTTCCATGTAAAAGTTGTGAATTGGAGGAATATTTGTTGATTAGGACGTCAGGTTGTGCTGTGTGACTCAAGGAGCCAGCTCACCCAAACCATGCTGAGTTACAGGCCTGTGGCTTAGGGATGCAACAGCAAACCCCAGCAAGATAATTCAGAATAATGAGGATTTGAAAGATGCCAGTGTGAACATTTGTTTGTTATTAAATATAAGCAAAAGGGGCATTACCACCAGTGATGACAAGTGCTTGGGAAAAAAGATAAATATGTCAGATCTGGGCTGGCATCTGCAATGAGCTGAACTGACTTTAAAGATGCCATGAAGGATTCACTGTCACTGGATCATGTGGGTTGAACAGAATTGTGTTTAGCATTTGCCTTAAAAACTTGATTAGGAAACATCAAAAGACCATGAGGTACTGGGTCTTATCCCTTGAGAGCCCAAAGGAGAAGAAAAGACACTTTAGAGAAAAAAAATGCTCCAGGAGAATCTCAGCTTTTCTTTATCTTCACCAAATCCAGACCTTCAAGTGCTGGTTTCACTTCTCAAAGGGAGATTTAGCAGTTTGGGCCATTTAGAGCCAAGGGATTTAGGAATGCATGAATGTACCTGGGAGTGTTTTCTGAGAGATGTAACTCACCAGATCTGAGCACTCTTCCACATTTGCAGCAGTAGAAATAGTTTTAAAATCCCACCCTTCCCAGGTTTGATAAGGCCCAAGACCCAGGTTTTATGGCTGGGTTCACATGTGGCAGGTTTTCCTTTGTACCGTTTGCTTTGAATTGCTTTGTTGACATAAGCATGCCCTTGTTGGGTGGATCATCTATGTTTATTTTAATGTATATTTCCTTTTAATCATTACCTTATCCTTACCAACAACTGACTTCAGTAGTCACTGCCTTGAGTAATAAGCACAGGAATGTGCTCATATTTTGCTGAATCAAGACTTCCACCAGGCAAGCCCACATACTAAGGAAGTTTTCCCTGTGAATTTACGTTGTGCTAATGGGAGGCACTGCTATGACACATGCAGCAGCAAAGTCAGGGAGCTTTTCCTGCGGGTCTGTTGTGGGGAGATGCGATCTGTGTCACTGCAAGGCTGTGTTTGGTTTAGATTACAATATGGCACAAGGCTGGCAGGGCAGTGTCTGTCCATGAGGGACACAGCAAACCCTCACCCAAGGGAGGAGAAGGTGAATCAGTGGCCTCAGGGCTTGTTAGTGGTTGGGAAATCACAGCACTGCCTTGGATGCTGGAGCAGCAACACATCCCTCCCACTTTCAAAGCACAGGGTTGCCTTTTTAGTACGAAACCACTTCAGTGGCCATTTGCAAACCCCTGGCTGGGGTTTGCCCATGGTCAGTGCTCAGGGTCTCAGATATCCTGGCTGGTCCCTGGGAAGGCTCCATGTGCCAGCTCTGAGCAGCAGCCAAACTTAAACCTGTAGCTCTGCTGAGTGAGACACTGCCATCCTCATGTGAACTCCCTGAGCTCACCACAGGGCAGACTCTTTTGTGGGTTTTTTCCCTGCCCACCACCAAAGATACCCCAGGCAGCTCCGTGGCAGTGCCACGTGTCTGTAATGCCCCTCACAGTGCTCCAGGTCCCATGGGAAGTGCCTGATGTAGTGCTGGTTCCCAGCAGTCATTTACAGCACACAAGGGCTCCCATGCCAGCCTCTGTCTCCCAAAAGCTTCTTTCAGCCCCGTTGCTGCAGGGAGCTTGAATTTCTGTCTGCCTTGAGAAGTGGTTTGTTTTTCAAAACTCTATTAAAGGAGCTATTATTCAAAATCCGCTTTTACTTTGGAAGGGGATTGCTTTCCGTCTCTCCTTTTATCTCCAAACATGTCAAATCAGCAAAAGCACAGAGTGAAAAACATGCACCCAAGAAGTTATATTTAGAAACTGGTTAGTCCGTATTTAACATTCCTGTCAGTGCTTACCCTGTTTTGCATGTCTGGACTGGTGTTAAATTAAATTAAATACATGCAAGCATGACATTTATTATTCTAGAGCTCAGCACAGGAATAACAAAACTGCCTATCTAATTTCACTGCCACAAATCCTGGAGATGTGGCTTCAAATAGTATGTTCTTATGATTATCTAAAATCCTTCCTGCATTTCAGTAAATCAAGGAGAGGTCAGCTCTGGGGAAAACTGAAAAATAACAGCTGAAAAAGGGTTTAATAAGGAGAAACTGTTCTCCTTTGCAGACTCACTCAAGGCTCCAGCATGGGGTATTCTCATGTGGAGGGTACTTGCTGCAGTGGCTTTTTTGATGTATATGAATAAAGGAAGCAAAGCTGCTGTTTTTTGGATGGGTTGAGTCTGGTTTTGGCCACACACCTGATGAGGCTCACTGCCTGCAGGGCAGCAGCATGGTCATGGGGAAATCCAGGACTTTCTAGGAAGACGATTGAAAAAGTGGGTGAGGTGCAAACCCAGGGTCCCTTGCAGCCCTTCATTTCTGAGATGAGCGTGCAGCTCTTTGGCCATCACCACTCCCCTAGTTAACAGGGAGTGTTTTTCACAAGATCAGATGGTTTTGAAGGCAGAGGTGCACAGGCAGAAGGCACATGCTGTGGTGTGGACCCTGTCCCACAACGCAGCAGCGGGAGAGCAGGGTGGAGCTCTCACCTTCCCAAACCCCATCAAACTACACTGCTTGCAGCTTCAGGAGAAGAGGCAGTGAATGGTGTTTGCTTATCTTTTTTATACATTCATAGCATCATGTTTTGGTTAAAAATAATATTGTTTCAGTGTTCAAAATCCTCCCCTTGACTTGGCACTTCTGCTTAAGCATAAAGTGCTGTGCAGCGATAGCCAGGCTTCAGGCTTGCCATTTGTTTCTAATTAAGGATTTGAACGATTCAATGGAAATTAAATACATGCAAGTGTAGCATTCCTCAAAGTTCAGTGTTTACTTAAAGAGTTTATTACTTATTTTTACTGGAATAATACAGAATGGAGTCAGTAAGGTGAACCTTTTCCCAGCTGACTTTTCTCTGCAAAAACCTGCGGAAGGAAGGAGGTAGTAGGAATATGTTTGAATGAAATTACAACAAAGGGATACTTTGCTTTCTAGACATCCCCACTGCCTGGACTTCCCCCCTTTCTGGTCAGGACAAGGAAAGTTTTTCTGTGCTTTTAATCCCTCCATAGAGGAGGGTGTGTGTGGAAGATGCTATGAGCAACTTGGCTTGGCAAAGAGAGGTGTGGCTTGGGGTAGATGGAAGATCCCATTGACTTTGTCTGCATTAGGTCAGGAGGAAGCCTGGGGAGCAAGTTGGAGATGTGAGGGTAGATCTAAAATGTAGAGGTTTGGGAGGCCAGGGAGTCAGAGGTTTTACAGCCCACAAACTTGGTGAGGAGCTGTGATTGTCCCAAGCCACAATTCTTACAAGGCTTTCTGCCCACTCTGCTCCTTGCTTGCATCAACAGCCATGGTGTTAGCAGGATCTGCCTGATGCTTGCCCAAGGGTAGTGCTCTGGGGTCTGAGCAGCTCCCCATGTCTTACTATGGGAAATGCTGTGCTAACCTTGATGATTTAGACTTTTCAGCAGCTGCACCATCAGGGCTTTTTTGCTTTGGATGTTCATACACAGCTGCTTGTAACCCAGAGTATGCAGCTCTTTTTCAAGGTAGGAATTGTGTTTTATCTAACAGACTTGTTGGTTTAACTCCCTGGATAAACGAAGCTAAGACCAAAAATCCCACTTCCTCCATTGCAAATATCTCACCAAGACCTTGGGTGTCCCCTGTGCTCCAGCCTTCCCTCCTTTGAGGTGTCAGCCAGCAGTTTGTGCTGACTCGGTTGCTCCTTTCACTAGCATGCCAGCCCCACCACAGGAAGCCCTTGGGAAGCCAGCAGCATTGGCAGAGTAACCCTGAAACTGGATCTGGTTCCTTTAGGGAAAGCCACATACCTGCACGTGGGCGAGGTGGTCGACGGCGTGGACATGCGGGCGGAAGTGGGGCTGCTGAGCCGCAACGTCGTGGTGATGGGCGACATGGAGCAGCAGTGCTACGAGTACAGCAGCAAGCTGTGCTCCTTCTTTGATTTCGACACCTTTGGGGGACACATCAAGGTGAGGCTGGAGCCCTTTGCTTGTCCTTTCCTCCTTCCAGCCACGCCTTCACACAGCAAGGAAGCCAAGATGCAGGAAGGGAAAAATTCCTCATCAGCCCTTGAGCAAACAAGCTCTCCCACGGTACAGCAGATCCACCCTCTGGCTGCTGCCTGTCCTTTGGCTTTGAAGTGCATGCCATGCCCCTGCAGACATTGAGGCTGATGATCAATGCACCTGAGATAAAGTCTCTGCATCCCAATCCCAGTTTCCCCTGGATTTTGGTAGTGCTTAGCCCAGGAAGTTTGATTTGAACCCAGCTGGCTGAAAACCATGGAATATGATAAATATGAATTGCTTTCCTTCTACAGTTAAGTTAAATGTATCTATGGCAGCAGTGTGGAAATCAAAGAGCATGGTCTCCTTAGGCACCATGGCCCTCTCTCCCTCACCCTGCAGCCACACACTCCCCTCCACACAGTAAATCCTTCAGGAGATAAGATGCAGCCCTTCCTACGCCTGTGTTCCCCCTCCTTGCCCTCAACAGATTTTTGTTTTTCTTGACTGCTGTTCTTTTGCTTTCCAGATTGGTCTTGATTTTAAGGCTACGCACATTGAAGGTCTGGAACTGAAACACATGGGCCAGCAGACAATGGGGCATTACCCAATTCATTTCCATATGGCTGGAGATGTGGATGAGAAAGGAGGCTACCACCCTCCAACCTATGTGAAGGACACCTCCATCCACAACACCTTCTCCCGCTGCGTCACAGTCCATGGATCCAATGGCTTACTGGTAAGAAGTTCCAGTGTCTGCCTCAGAGATGAAGAGAGCAGGGAAAAAACTTCCTCATGGCATGAATGCACCTTAATTATTGCAGAATGATGTGTTTTATTGTTAAAGCCAATGCCTGACTCTTCCCACCCTGGATGTACAAGGAGTATCTCAACCTGCCAGTGTGGCACTGGGGGCTGTGTGTGACTCAGAGTGGGCAGAGCATTTGTCTGGCTACTGCAGTGTCTGCAGACCAGCCCATCCCTAATGAGTGGTTGGATCTTTCAGCAGACACAGAATTTGCTATTTAAAGAGGATAATCAGAAGCTTTAAGTGTGCCTCATCTTTCCTGTAATAAAGGTTTGGGCTTGCAATGCCAGTCATAGCATTAAGCACTCACGGAGCTGTGATTTGTTAGAGTTGCCCTCCATAACAAGAAGTCCTTTAGGATAAATCTCTAGAATGACTGATGGTTACCAGACAAGTTACAGCACACCAGAGATGTCAAGAACATGTTCAGATTCTCCCGGATCTAGGGGTGCCTTTGTTTGTGGGGTAGGCATGCTGGACCTGTTGTTTGTGAACAGAAAAGGACTAGTGGGTGATGTGATGGTTAGAGGCTGTCTTGGGCATCGTGATCACAAAATTATAGCAGTTTTCTATTCTACGAGAAGTAAGGAGGGGGGTCAGCAGAACGGCTGCCCTGGATTTCCAGAGGGCAGAGTTCGGCCTGTTTGGGAACCTGGTTGACAGAGTCCCTTGAGAGGCAGGTCCTGAAGGGCAGAGGAGTCCAGGGGGACTGGGTGATCTTCAAGAAGCAAATATTAAAGGTGCAGGATTTCTCTAGGCAAAGGACTCTCACCCATTCAGTGAAATGGCAAGAAAAAAAGTATACCCAAGCCCTGAAGAGGAGAATTTGTACTGTCAAGAGCCCTGCTGCTATATATAACAGAATTTTGAGTGGAAATATAATTGGCAGTTGTAACCTGCATGGTCACTGTGCATTAGGAGTTCATACCTCTAGAAGTGCCAGCGTTGGAAGGGAGAGTCCCAGGCATAATTAAAATGCACAGAAGTTGAACAAAGGACACTTAAATTGCAGTTCCAGAAGTAGACCAGCTTTTATCTGCTATTTTCGAATCTGAGGTTTTGGGTTTGACCTCTGTCCTTCTAAGTTTATAACATGATCTTGAAAACCTACCAAATGAACATGGTTTCTGAAATGAAGAGACATTTTACTGTATGAATTATATAAGTCATTCAGGGTCATGTGGCATTTGCTCAATCTGAAGCTGGCAGTAGAGGGGTTTAGAACACAATTAATGTGCAGAGTGGCAGGGCAGCATTGCAGGTTTCATTTGTCTCACTGTGATGGGCTGTCACCAGTGGCACCATCAACACATCCTCTGGCTGCACAGAGGCTGCACAGCTGCTGAAGAGCTGCAGTTTCTTCTGGATTTAATGTGAGATCTTCATTCCCTGTTTCCAAACCAAATACCCAGAACCTAGAATTTTTCTTATCAGTCAGATGGATGGGTTCATGCAGAGAATTTGGAAATTGTTCTGTCTCTTGTGCAATCTCTGGGCAACAACTGTGCCATGGGGGATCCATGGCATAGAACTCCATGTGCTCAGGCTTTTCCAGCTGAGGTGACAAAGAGAAATTTAGACAGGCTGATGTAGCTGATGAAAGCAACTTGATTCTCTTGCTGTTGTTGAACAACCACGATTCCCTAAATGATCATACTTTGCCTCCATGACAAGGCACCCAAGAGAATTCTTGTAATTTAGGACATTATTTAGTCAATACAATCTCTCTGGATTTTAGTTTATCAAAATGTGTGAATATGAAGCTCTACCTATACTTGTTTTGGTTTTTTTTTACCTCATCATTACTGCTGATGGCTGAAAAGAAAGCCTCAGTGAACTAAAGAAATCTGATCAATTTTGTTCAGTTGCATCACAGAAAACATGCTCCAAAAGTTGCATCACTTAGGTGTTGTTTCACGGCTCTGATACACATCTGCAGTCAGCAGCTCCGTGCCTTGATTCATCAGGTGATCCCACCACAATCTCCTCCTTCCTTTCCTCTTCCTTCTCCCCCAGCTTTATTCAAAGACACCCACATGGGTTTGTGATGACTACTGTAGTTATTGTATACATTTCCCAGTTGCCTATTGTCTTTTTACTTGGGTGGCAGCAGCTGTTTCTACATGCAAGAACTCAGCTCATGCAAACAAAGATGAGCTCTGTCTTTCCCCAGGTAACATTCATTCCCTTTGAGATCAGGTAGATCCAAAGTGTACTTTGCTGAGGGAAAATTTGCCTTAATGATGTGCACACTTTGGAAATAGCCATAAAAATTCCAGCTGGATTATTAAACCACAGCACAGCACTGAATGATGTCCTTAACAATGAGCTGTTGATTTCAGAGCTGCTTCTTGCACAAGTATTGTAGAGTACCTGTGCAAATGTTTTAATAAATGGGAGAGGGGCATCAGTTGTTTTTTACTGTCATTAAAGCAGGCAGGTAATTTACATACAGGCTCTCCTGCTTGCTTTGCTGTCACTTTTCTCATGTCACTTCAGAGATACTCATAGATTCTGAAAAGTCTAGGAGAAAAGAGTATCCAGTTATTTCTGATGACAGGTATTTTTCTGTGGGTCTGCACAGTCTGTTAGAAGTAGCTGTCTCAACATTAGCTCACCTCATTGATGGATTATTCTGCACTTGCATGTAAATTCATATTAGCTGAGAGGCACAGAGGGTCCTTCTGGAAACAAAGCTGTAGAAATGAGTTTCTCACCATAATTGTTGTTTTAAATGCAATAGTTACCCAATGTTTTCTGCAATATATTGGCCAAAAAAATGCCTAGTTACAAAACTGCAATCCCAGGGAGGGAACTTTGCTCTGATTCCCACTCTCCATTGGATCCCTGTGTGCAAGGTAAAGTAGAAGCAGCCACTGGGGAAGGAAATTAAATGGTAAAGTCTAACAAGATCCAGGGGAGACCTGTACTTCATGAATCAGAGGTTATGCTATCTAACAGCTTCAGTGGTGTCTGCTTTTACTAATCCAGCTATACTTCACAGCAATTGTTTTGCCAGGAAGAGCATTATCTGGCTCTAAATTGCCCATGGTTAATGTAAGATTATGGACTATTAACAAGGTTTTAATCAAAGAAATAATTAAATACATTAGAGGAGTGATTTTGGAGCAAGCATCTCATTTTCCATGCAAGCATTTCAGCAGTGGGCTTGTGCATGAAAACAGGCACAGGAGCAAGTCAGAGGTGACTGAGAGATGGCTTATGGGGAAATAATTAATCAAAGAGAAGGTGACAAATGCCTGAGGGACCAGATTCCTGGCTGGTAACTCCCTCTTGTTCCGTGGCCTTTCAGGGATGAGTTAGGAGAACAGGCTTTCACTGGCTCTGAGCTCTCTGCCAGTGCACAGCCCTGTCTCACTCTGCTCCTGTTCTCTCCCTCTGCTCTGGGAGATGTGATCCCCTGGGATAGCACTCCTCTGCTTTGCCCCAGCTGAGTCTGGTCACTGCAGGTTTCCATGTCCATGTCCCAGTGCAAAGTTGTGTCAGCTGGAAAGATAAATGGCTGAAGTGGCAAACATTTTTCTAGGGAAACTGCTTCCATCATCTAAATGTCCCAACACCATTGCTTATGTGTCTTTTTGGTATTACTGTCCTGTGAGAGAAAGCTTATAGGATTTGGTGGCAGTTTCTGTGGAATTCTGACATCTCTGTGGTAAAAAATTTCTTCTATGTGTTGGAAATCTTCTGCTGAATGTTGCTACTCTCTTGAAATGTTCTGTCCTGTAAGCCTTTATCATAACAAGGTTGGGATAGTTCATTCTTCTGAGGGGGTACTGTTTAGTATATATGTTTTACACCTAAATAAAGAAGGCTAAACCTTGCAAAATCTATCACTTATTAGACATGGGAAGTTAGCAGTGAATTTCAGTGAGGGAGCTTAATGGAATGTACCATTTTGCAGGTCACTTTAGCAGTGTTTAATTTACTGTGATGACTTGTGCTCAGAGATTTGAGTATTTACACTGGAGCATGGATGCTACATAATAGAAGTCTGTGTGGTTGTAAGCCAGTAACAGATTTGGCAAGCAAATTGTTTGTTCTCATGTGAAAACATATTTGTAATCATTTCAACACTAATACTGGGATTTTATTTGAAATTGGTGCTCTTTGCCTCAGGAATGAGGTGTGAAGGTGACAAAGTCTCAAGCCTGTTTACAAAAGCAATTCAAGCACTTGAATGCCAATGCACTTGGTCTCTCAGTGACACCATGATGAACAGGTCTTCTAACAGGTTTAATACTGTCCTTTGTCCCCTGACAATTACTGTTTCATCAGAAGCATTTAGAGGAACACTTCTGTGGCAGATTAACCTTTGCTAGGGAGGTTTCCTGAGTCCAAGGTGATTGATGAGGGGTGGCTGATGGGAACAGCAAGGGAAGAGCCCAGGAGATCCAGACCTTGCCCTGTCAATGGAGACCTGAAATTAATTTTCTATATCCCAGATATAGCCACTGACAACTGATTTTCTGGACACAATTGCTGCATGTCCAAGGGCTGTTTCTTCCCATCTTGTCCCCTCCTTAGGCTTCAAACTCACACTCCTGCTCTCAGATCATCCAGTGGTGTGAGGGCTGTTGTTCTGTCCAACCAAGAGTGCCCCAGTGTTACCAACATCCAAACCAAAACCAGAGCAGCACTGATTAATGCCAGCTGATTTGTCTCAGGGTCAAGCAAAGCTTCTGTCAACAACTTGAAGAAAAAGATCAGGTTAAACCCAAAACAAGCCAGCCTGTCTGGAAAACAAATTTCTGCCTCTCTGATAGCCTGGAAAAATATTTTTTCATCTCAGCTGCATTTTTGGGTTGCATTTTATGTAGCTGCCCATGTAACTTCACATGGCTCATCTTAATGAGCCCAGATGTGATTTGAATGTCTAATTCCTCTCCTCATCCCCCACCCTGTGTTTTTTTTGCCAGCCTCGTACTAAGACAGTCTCTGATTTCTCAGGCAAACAAAGGAATGGAATGAGCATTTCCTAGGTGATGACAAATTCTAATTAAGTGTTAGAGTTATTGCTTTGGCTATAAGCTCTTAAGGGCTGAGAGGAACCTTGCTTTTGGTTTAGGTCATAGATCCTGAGTTCAAAAGGGAACTGAGGCTCCTATGTGCCATCAACTAAAGTTTGTTCTAATTGTGCAGTGGCTGAAGCACAAAACCTCAACACTGACCCTTGTTCTGTCCATTCAGGTGAAGGATGTGGTGGGTTACGATGCTCTGGGCCATTGTTTTTTTACGGAGGATGGCCCAGAGGAGCGCAACACATTTGACCACTGCCTGGGGCTGCTGGTGAAGCCCAGCACTCTGCTCCCCTCCGACCGAGACAGCAGGATGTGCAAGCTGATCACAGAGGGAGCTTACCCAGGCTACATCCCTAAACCCAGGCAGGACTGCAGGTGAGTGGGAGCCTTCTTCTTCTCTTCCTTCTCCTTGCAGGACTTGGCCATAACAGACAGCATTCTGTGTATGGGATTATGTAGATATCTGTAGGGGTTTGGTCTGCTTGCCCCAAATTTGGGAGAGCGGTTTCCTTGGGGTCTTCATCCTTGTGCTATTCAGATGCCTACAGACCTAGGGTGTACTTTTAAGTTTTTGTATGAAGTCCACTGAGACGGTTCCCACCCAAAATATTGTAAATCTTTCTTGCAAAGTGTGCTGCCTTGTGCTTTGTAGAGTCTTGAACCATCATTTTGGTGATGGCTCAGCAAAAAGTAGCTGAGTTCAGAATGGGCCACATTCTGACATTCGTGCTCATCTCAAATGGCAGTTGATTTTGAAAAGATTTCAATATCACCCATTTTGTCCTCAGAATAAGCTGAGGTTTTGTTCAAACAAAGGTATTTTTAACTTTTTAGTTTGGCAAGGGAGAGAGAGGAATTCATGCAATGCTCTTTTTCACATCTGTGTTTGTTTATAAAATACCCCTAATATCCCTGTTCTTAAAATAAGGGTTAATTAGCCAATGTGCTCATTTTCCACTGATAATTTGTTTAATAGTCATATGGACATATTTTGTGTGTAATTTTGAAGACTGTTGCATGGATGAGTGCTTTCTAATGGAAAGGTGTTAAGGTACTTTGATCTGCCCTGTCTTCCTTTATAAAAGAATTCAAGATCTGGTCAGAAAAACGGCTCAGCTTGTTTTGCACTGGGCTCATCCAGCCTGGAAGTGCATGAGTACACCAACACTAATCCCAGCGCAGAGACAGGGGATGAGCAACAGCTGTGGCTCCATCAGCTTGGGAGAGGCAGGCAGGGAGCTGCTGCTGGGAATTCAAACAACAGGATTGTGCCAAATGACACCGTAACCTGCCCAGTCCATGAGGCTCTGAAGAACGGGATTAGGCTGAAAGACAAGTCACTGTGGAAATACACTGTCCTTGCCCTTGCCTACACAGCAGGAGGTGGTCTATAAATAATCCAAATTTGTTTATTTCTAGGCCAGTCCCACGCCCAAAATAGAAAAATTTTGCTGTTTTCATGATGAATCCAGACAAACGGAAATGCATCAGCAAAATCAGTTGGTCTAAAGCCCCTGTGAAGTCCCTCAGGCAAGATTAACATAGACACAAGGGTTCCACAGGTTCATATCCTGCAGAAGGGCAAATCTCACCCAGCAAATGTAGGGGCCAGTCTGCTGGCTGTAAGTGCTGGATGTCTGCTGTGCTTGTTGGTTAACAAATTCTGGATGTCACAGGATGGACAGTGATGGATGGATTGATCTGTCCTCCTTGATGGGAATCTTTCAGTTGAGAGTCTTTTATGTGCATTAGACAAATGGAATGCTTTTGTCCCAAAATAAATGTGCAGGAGGGTGGGAGAAAATAAAGTTAATCAGTCACAGCAGCTCTTCGAACAGGCAGATGCGGGGGTACACTTGGAAAGCCCTTAGCAGGCAATTCATTGGGTTCCCTGATTAAACGAGTCTCTAATGAACCCAAGGGCTTATGTGGGGGCAAAGTTCTTTTCTGTGACTTGTGCAACAACATATTTACCTTATCACAAAACATGATTGACATCTGACAGCTTCATAGCAGGCTTGGAATTGCAGTTGAAATTCCTCATTTAATACATGGTGTTTTAAAAGATAAGGCCATGTTCTCTGTCAAACCACAGAGGACACGAGGTATGAGAAAAAAAAGGAAAAACACATTCCTCTTGCCCCTAGGCAGGGCCCCTTATCTGGGGAGGTATCAGCCCTGCCTGCACTGGGGGAGTTTATGGGTGACTCTGGTGTGTGCTCAAACTGTCATTTTCGTGTTATTCTTTGTTTTTCTGACCTGCAGTGCTGTATCCACCTTCTGGATAGCCAACCCACACAACAACCTTATAAACTGTGCAGCTGCTGGATCTGAAGTGAGTGCACAAGTTTCTTATTTGGTAACAGCTCAGGCCAGTGACAGCCCTGCAAGGCTGAGGGAGGCTCTCTCTGGATTAAAACCTGCTTTTGTGTCACAGACATTTTTAAAGCTGCTTGATTGAGACACATATTAATGTGGCTGGTGCCACCAATAAAAAGAATGGTTTTACTTTTGCTCCAAACTTCTTGTCACTTGCTGTTTCTAGAGCTGTATTTAACAAAATTCCATAGTGTGCAGCCTGAATAAATTAAACAAATGTGACTGTGGAGTCACAGAGAAGCCTTTGGCAATGATATTGTTGATTGTGGTACAGTAATGGTGCTCCAAAATTTCAGTCAGCCCAAATGCTAATTCCACAGTCATTTTTGGTTACATCAGGATCTTTATTATCCTGAGAAGACATAAAACCAAGAAAACCAAGCCTAAAACAGAGAGATGTGGTCTTTCCAACACTTTCAAATCTTGGGTAGCTATATTAGGACTCAGTGATCAATTTTTAGGCAACTAAATAAAAATTATTTAATTTTTAAATTTGGAAAGCCTCACTTATGCTCCAATATTGATGCCAAAACTTAACCTGAGGCACCCTGAAGATCAGAAGGGAGAATATCAGTGCTCATGTGCGTTAAACTCTTTGCTGCAGAGCGTTACACAGGTCAATGGCTGTGATTTGTCCTGAAACCTCCTGGCGTGTGTCTTGTGGCTCTCCTGGGGCTAGTGCAGACCAGCAAAGTCTCAGATGTCCCTTCTCTCTCTCAGGAAACAGGCTTTTGGTTTGTCCTGCACCACGTGCCCACTGGTCCCTCGGCAGGCATGTACTCCCCTGGCTACTCCGAGCACATGCCGATGGGGAAATTCTCCAACAACCGCGCGCATTCCAACTACCGGGTGAGTCTGCGCGCAACGGGAATGGGAACGCTGCCTCGGAACAAGCCCCATCCCTCACTCCAGCTTCCCAGGCCTGAAAGCTATTAGAGCCTGTGCCTCCTGTTTCTCTCGGAGCTCTGCACGCTTGTGTCTGAGATAAGGCAGCTCGCGGGAGCGCTCGGAGCCAGCCGGCACCTGCTCCGCTTGGGCATCCAGAGCGGCTCTCCCCTCTGCTGGGGCTGCTTCCCTGCCTCTGTGCTCCTGAAATACTGCCTCCAGGAGCACCTGCTGACAGCCTGTCTAATTATACACCTCAGCTGCCAATGCTGGCAATTACCTGAACAGCTTCTAGAGGGATAAATACGGCCGCTGTGCCTAATCGCTGTCTCTGCTTATTTTCTCCTTAGCGTGCCATGTTGTGGGGCTGTGTGTTTCGCAGAAGGTTTAGGTGCATGGGAATACATGCAATTATGAGAAAAGTGCAGCTTTGGGAATTTGCAGCCATTTTGGGGGGTATATACAAGTCCTGGCAGCCCTCGGTTTCACATGCTATTAACAGAAGCTGTTCTTAGCATCATGTGGGTGAGTTTGGCTTAGAACAATTGGAGGTAGAGTCTGGAGATGGAAAGAGCTGTAAAATGTATATATATACTGTGATAATTACATCTCTGTTTTCCTTTAGGCTGGAATGATCATTGATAACGGCGTTAAAACCACCCCAGCCTCTGCCAAGGACAAAAGACCTATCCTGACACTGATTTCTGGGAGGTAAAGTGTTTTGCATAGTTTGATGTGGAAAAGACTTCTCTAAAACACTGACTGAAAGCTATGAAATTGCTCCAGGGAAGCTCAAAAGAATCATTGCAATGCCTTTGGGTTGGCTCTTTTTGAGGAAAGGTCTTCACTTAGGTACACCTTGCCATTTCTGACTTCATCTCTTCATTTTCCTTTATAAGACACCCTCAACACCCACACTCTTCTGGTTTCATCCTCGTTCTTTAGCTCTGAGCTGAGCTGGTGTAGATATTACATCTGCTGTAGGGTGTTCCATTGATTTTTAAATTTTTTACATAAGGAAGGAAATTCACTGCCTGGTCAACAGTCCCTCTGGGCAGAAGTTGCTGCAAGAGTTTCTTAGGAATAAGAAATTTGAGTATTTCTTGGGAATGCTATTAATTTTGTTCATTCTTTTAGAACCTGCTTGAACAGGGAGTGCTTATGTCATGGAGCTCATGCTTTGATTTCAGATTTCAGTCTAGTTCCAAACCTGACACTGCAGTAACAATCACAATTAAATACACAGAGCAATCCTTCATTTCTGCTGCTGTGCACAGCCTCTCTGTGGTGCAATGGAGCAACTTAAAAATAATGGAAACCTCTCTCTAGATTGTATCATACCAGCAGACCTGCTGTGGTCTGATGGCTTCTGAGATCCCACTCTTTCCCCAGAGCTGTCCCCAGAGGAGGCTGAGGAAAGGGCTGCACTTGCACCCTTGTATCTCATTACAGGTTGAGTCTGGCTCTTAGTTACAACCCCCAGACATGCAAAAGGATTTAAATACTCTCAAATTTCATAGTTTCTTTCCCAACAGACCAATTGCCTCCAGTTGCACCCTAACCTACATTCCCCCACAACTGCATTTCTTGACAGAAGAAACCATGTAAGGGAGAGAAACCTGCTGAAAGCCTCTGCTCAGCAGGGGAGAATGACAACTCTGTCTCCTTCTCATCTCTGGGGTGTGGGTTACCCAGACTACTGTAGTCATGCACTGGGCAAGCATTACAGGGGTGGGATCCATCTTCCTTCCCAGGAGAGCCCAGCCAGGAGCTCAGATATCAGTTATCCACATCACCCCAGCGCCCTGGCTAGCAGCTGATGCTAAAAGATGTTCAAAAGTGAATGTTATTTACATTATTTAAATGCTCAGTTTGTTGAAGCGATTAATTAAATGGTAAAAGTAGCTGCTTAAAAAAAAAACTTAAGAGCAGCCTGCTATTGGGAGCCTGATGCTGCTTTTCCATGCAGCTGGACACGTGCCTGGGGAACTGCCTGCTGCCACAGGCACAGTTAGTGGTTAGAAAAGGCAATTTCTCCCTTGCCATACAAGGGCAAGAATGGCCCTTGGAAGCCAAACAATTCATATTGCAGTCATGGTTGTGCTTGGGGATTACCCAGCAGCATAAACTGCAGCTCAGATTATTTATTCCATTTTCCACCTTTCACATGTCAAGACTGAACTGAATAAATGACTAAAGTTGGGCTGGCTGGAGCAAACTGTGAGCTGGGCTGGACAGTGACAGAGCTGGAGAGATTATTCTGCATTCAGTAACAGCATTAAATGTCCAAGTCAAATTCTGGACCCTGTAGTGTTCCTCCAGTTATCATGAATGTGAATGAAATTGGAATCCATCTCAAAATATCTGTACTTAACAATGCCTGGGGAATTCACGAGAGCTGATACTAAATCTGTCTCTGAAAGTAAATTCACAGTGATGAAGCTGCCAAAGCAATATTCATTTATTGGAACCCTATCAGCCTGATGTTCAGTTTTAGATTGATATGATGGCTTATTAAGCAAAGCAAAGTGCTATTGAATATCTGTTAGCAATTTGACAGCTTGGCCTCACTATCCATGGTGAGGAATGAATTTTAATCTCTGGACCATCCGCTGCTGGCACTGAGTTGGATACTCATCTGTCATGTTTTCTAAGCCGTGTAGTGTGATGGAGGATGCTACTCCAAGAGCAGAAAGGAGCCTCAGGATGGGGTAAATGACAGCCAAGCTCAGCATCACCTTGCTCGGATCCTGTGGCCCAAGCAGTGGCTGTCAGGGAGCAGCTGAGGGCACACATGGCTGCAGTTTCTGCTTCTGTCTGCTTTTTTTTCACCAAAGCGGGCCAATATTTCATCATACTGAGAACTTCAGGGTTACTAAATCTTGTACGTGTGTCCTGTGTAGTGGGAGTAGTGAAGGACATACTCTCAGCCCCTCTCCAAGATTTTCAAATTCCTTTCCACAGCAAGAAAAATTTGGCAGTGGTACTCATGGCCACAGTATAGCCAGAGTTAGGAGATAAGAATGCTCAAAAGGGAAAACAAAAGGATATTTATCTAAATAACAGGAACATGCTAAAGGATAGCAGCAAGAGATTAAAAAAATATCTGGAACATTTGGGAGCAATAATAAACTTTCCATGCTTTCAGCAATATATCAGCAATACAATACCAGAAAGGTGAAAGGAAACTTGGAGCAGGTCTTTACAACTGCCTTGCCTGGATCTTCCTTCCCTTGGCAGCTGGGCCTGGCCATCACAGCTTGAGCAGACACGCTATGTGGATGGAGTGTGGTCCCAAAGCTGTTCCTGAGTTACCATAAAGCAGATGTTTAGCAGGGCCATGCAGGCAGCAAGGCCACCTTCCCTCGCCAACCTTTCCTCTCTCCTTCTGGTTGCAGGTACAGCCCACACAAGGATGCTGATCCTTTGAAGCCCAGGGAACCTGCAATAATTGAGGGCTTTATTGCCTACAAGAATCAGGATCACGGGGCCTGGCTGCGAGGTGGAGATGTGTGGCTGGACAACTGCCAGTGAGTTTTGCCTTATTTCAACTCTCAGAGTTCAGCCTGGTGTTTATGGCAAGCATAGCTGTGGTTCAGACTATTTATATCGCTTTGCACCTTTCATATGGCCAAGATTGAAATGAAGATGAAATGTTAAGCCACCACAGGCATTATTTTACACAAACAAAACCTGCTTTGTCTGAGCTGAGCATCCCTCAGGTTGTTTCTCTGTGCGATGCTGACCAGCAACAAATTGTCACAATACACACACACAGATACACAGAAGCAAATAACTAAAAATAAAACCTAATTTTTTTAATATTAAAGATAAGGTGCTTTGAAAAGAAAACAGTGAAATGCACCACCTTTCCTGGCTCAGCCTGATCACAGATCAGTTTTATGTGGTTCAGTGTAATGCTGAATAAGCAGGTACTGATGAAGCAGACATACAACTATGCATCACAGCAGCAAGTGTGTGTTGTGCTCTTTGAAGGCCATTTCCTGCCCTGGCCAGAGCTGATATTTGTTTTGCACTTGAAAACAGATGACCTGCTGCAGTTTCTGTTTCTGAGCCAGGCTCCTGATTTCAATCCTAGCGAAGAGGAGAAAAAGGAAAAAGCCCCTTTAGGAGGGATATTGTGATAACCCTGCTGCCTGATTGGAATGGCTGCCATGCTGATATCTGGTGTCCAATTCCCAGCCAGAGCTTTCTTACCTTCCAGTGACCCAACCTCTTAAAGCAACCAGTGGGATAATCTGGCAGTAGTGCTGGTGAGAATGGGGCTGTAGCAGAACACCCAGAAATGTCATTTTGAGCAATACAGTTTGTATTTCTTATGACCCACAAGAATCCACCCTGCTCCACGGCCAGCAGGTGTTGCCCTCACAGATCCCACTCGGTCACTGGGACATTTGCATTGCTGAATATCCTTTGCTGGAGCAAAGGCAGGGTGCTAAATCACCAAGTGCTTTATGAGTTTCCAGCAGCAAATCTCTGAGTGTGTGTGAATTGGAGGAAGCAACCATCAAACTGTAATTGTCTTTATAGCCAGAGTAATTTCCTTTTCTATGGCTAGAATCTAATTTATGTATCCCATTAACAGGGACAGCGTTAATGTGGTCTGCAGGGAAGCAAGGAGGTGATAGGGTGGGAAGGGCTGCCACCTACAGACAGCAGCACAGTGAGGGGATCTGCTCCCAAACCACTGCCAGGATCAGTGACAGACGTGGGAGGTGATGCTGGTGTGAAGTCACCATCAAGACTGACTCGAAGTATCAATTCATTGTAGCATTTCTCTAAGCAGCAGTCAAGGACAACATCTGTTATTTATCTTATATTGAAATTTCAGCAAAATAGAAAGATATTCTGATTTTTAAAAATTATTATTTTTAAATAAGGAAGCTCTGATCTCTGTATTCCTGTTGAGGAAGGAGAAGCCAAGCTGCTCTTTTTTATTACTTTGCAAAGCTCTTTTATGGAAGCATTTTGTGAAACATGAAGACAGGGAAGCACAGTGTGTAAAGCAAAGCACCATTAAATAATAAAAGCTGGTTGGAGTGGGAGATAAGCATGATTCTTTTATCTACCAGAGAAAAGTGTGTGATCATTAGACAAAGGGATAAAGCTTTATCAGGCAAATAAACTATGGCTAGTAATCACCATCTTAACCCAGCTGGAGCAATCAGGTGTGTGTCTGCTGCTTCATGTGATCTGCAAACTCTGCAAGATGTGCCAAAAGAGATCTTCTAAAACTGGAATGGGAACAAGTCTGGAAAAACCCAAGTTCCCCCTGAGCACAGTAATTAAACCCTGCTGTTCCCCACTAGTTTGCTTGTTACAGTTTGACATGACGAACCAAAGCAGCCCCGAATCTCTTCTGAAGCATCTCTCTTCTCTTGGCAGGTTTGCTGACAATGGCATTGGGCTGACCTTGGCGAGGTAAGTGTGGCAGGGCTGTGTGCCAGCCTGGGCACGGGGCTGGCTGTCAGCAGCCCTTTCACCTCCAGCCCTTTCTTCTCAGTGGCGGGACCTTCCCTCATGACGACGGCTCCAAGCAGGAGATCAAGAACAGCCTGTTTGTGGGTGAGAGTGGAAACCTGGGCACTGAGACGATGGACAATGAGATCTGGGGGCCTGGAGGTCTGGATCACCGGGGAAGGACCCTGCCCATCGGCCCGTAAGTTCAGCTCAGCACATCAAAGCACTCACAGTTCCCACTCCCAGCACAAATCCAGCCCAGTGTGGTTTCCTCAGCGCTGTTCAGTTTAATAACCATTACACAGAAAGGATTTAATTTCATGTTTCCCAGTCCCAGAGTCCTCACTGTGCAGCTGCTGCTGGCAGGTACATCCTTGCAGGCTGCCAAGACAGATCAAGCTCCTCTTTCCTTCCCCCTCCCCTTTGCAAGGAGAGGACAGCAAGAGCACTCTGTGCTAGCAGGGCATCTCTGTCCGTGTGATCAGCAGTGCTGAGCAATGAGCTGAGCTCCATCAGCTGCCAGGAAGGCTCACAGAAGCCCCTTCCTAGGCTTGCATGTGCTCATGTGTGTGCTCAGTGCTGCTGTTACTGTTGCTCCTGCAAAGAACTTTGATGCCTTTGTTAAGGAGTTTTGAAATGGCCAATGAACATCATGTGTAGGCTCCTCCTAGACCTCAGTCCTACCAATTGGTTTGCAAGTGCAATGCTTTTGCTTCCTAAAACCAAAATTATTCTCACAGTAGCCCCATAGTGAGCAAACAGCTCAGCTGATGCTCTTCTGCCATATTGCAGGCCTCAATTTTGCTGTCAGCAGTGATGCTGGAGACTTATTATAAACTATACCAATAATGAAAACCCATTCTGCTATGACTCTTGTAATATCTGTGGACATATCTCATCTTGAATTTGTATGCAGAAACTCAGAACAAATGCACTGGAGCAGGCAGGAATTCTCTAAGGGATCATATGAGGAAGGGATCAAATTTATCATAAGTGAAATTTGAAATATCTTATCTTAGTCTCTTAAAGACCTTAAGCATCTTGTTAGTTTAATTGGTATGAAAATGGTATCTTCTTTACCTTGCAGCAAATATCAGAAAAGGCTGGTAAAGATTAATTAATCTGCCCCGTCAACTCTTCACAGCTCTGTAGATTGTAGGACCTTTCCTTGTTTTCAAAAACATTTTTTTGTTGCAGTTGATTTGCAATGCTTCTCTCCAAATCCCTTTGAAAGATATGGTGGGACTTCTTTTAGCCCTGCCATTACTCAGCCCAAGGAGTCTGCACATCTCTGCTGAGTTTCAGGTTTCACTGCTGCAGAACTCATTTCTGATGGCAAACACGAATTTATTCATCTTTAGCTCAGTCCTTTGGCATTGCTGTTACTTCCTTCCCTGGAGAAGTACAGGCTAAATAAAGATGATCTGTTCAGCATGAGAGAACTTGAGCTGAACTTGCAAGGATAAGAGAGCTGAGAAGAAGGGAAATCCCTTCTCTTCCAAAGCAGGAACTTAGGAGTCATCCTATGGCCTGCAAGACGTGAAAGCAGCCACAAAACAAGCGCTGTGGGACCGTGCGTGTCTTGAATACATCTCCTCCTGATGCTAACGTGCCATGACCAAGTCTGTCTGTATTTCAGGGATTTCCCCATCCGAGGGATTCAGTTCTATGACGGGCCCATCAACGTCCAGAACTGCACGTTCCGCAAGTTCGCGGCGCTGGACGGGCGGCACACCAGTGCCCTCGCCTTCCGCCTCAACAACGCCTGGCAGAGCTGCCCCAACAACAACGTCACCGCCATCCGCTTCGAGGATGTCCCCGTGAGTCACCCTCCCCAGACAGCCCCCGTGCCTTGGAGATGGGGGTGTGGGCAAAAAGGAGCAAAGCTTGCTGGCTGTCTTTGCCAGAAGTCTAACAGCGAAAAGAAAGAGGAAATGTGATGGGTGCAGTGACAAAAAGATCCAATTGTCTGTCAGGTTTGCAGCAAAACAGGTGCAGGGAACAGTTAAAAAAACCCCAAAATTATTTCCATTTCTGTATGGCTCAGAAACTGAAGAATCAGCCCCCTTTTATTTTCAACAGTGGTATAATATTAAAGCAACAGAAGGAAGTCTGTTCTGGAAGGCCTGACTGACCTAGAAGCAGAAAATACTGATTTTGGGGAACAGCCAGTGAAACTGAGCTGATGCAGGATAATTCTGCAGCCCTGCACACCAGGGTAATTCCAGACTCCAGTTCTGCAGACATAAATGAGAGCAGAGTCCAGCCAAAAGGGGTTTGCCAAATTTTGAATTGCAGTATGAGCCTCTGGGTGCTGGTCTGAACCCATCCTGGGGCCTGTTCTTTTGAGTTATTTTTGTATTTACCCACAAGAATACGTGCTGTTTCGCTGAGGTTCACCTTTAGCAGCTGTTAAATCCAGCTGCCAAACATTACAAACAAATAAATAGATAAAGTGGTTGGGTTGAAATTATTTGTGTTGCCTAATTTTCAAAAAATTAGCAGGCTTTCTCACAGGTCATGAAAAGTGCTGACCAGTGCCAAATATGATGGGAAAGGCAAATTCCCCTAAAAGTGTTGGTTGGTCACTCTCACGTTGCACAAGGCAGGCTGGTAACATGACATTTATTTATGTTGGATAAAAATATCAGTCAGAAGTTGCCTGAGCAGCCATTTCCCAGGGCTGACTGTTTCCCACATTGGTATGACTTCATGTGGCCTGGAACTTTGAAACTGTGCTAGCGAACAATGAGTGAAGTGGCTCTTGTGAAATCACCCCATCTCCTGAACCTCCCTCCAGAATTTTAAGACAAACCTTCCTGCTGGTGGGGCTGAAATTGTGGTTTTTTTTAGCCTTTCCCCCATGGTCAGCAGGGAAATGTGTGTCTGCTCTGCCTGACAAGTCAAACACACCTTTTAAGTCAGAAAATGGGTAATTTGAGCCATTGTAGTGACCAAGGGCATCCTTTTCTTGTACTCTATGTGATGAATTCCTTTCTGGAGATGTAATTTGTTCCAATCTTGTTAAGATTACTTCAAGAGTCTTCTTTGGAGAACCTGGCCCGTGGTTCAATGATCTGGATATGGATGGTGACAAAACATCAGTTTTTCATGATGTAGATGGTTCTGTGTCAGAATACCCAGGCTCATACCTGATCAAAGAAGACAACTGGTTAATCAAGCACCCTGACTGCATTGACGTGCCTGACTGGAGAGGCTCCATCTGCAGCGGGCACTTTGCACAGGTAAGGCTGCTCACCTTGCAGTGTCATTATCACTCTGGTTTGTTTAAAATTTCTTGGCACTTTAAAGCTTGACCTGTAGAAATGGACTTTCTTCAGAGTGCTCAGTGTTTATTTATCAGCATGTCTGCACAGGTGGCTTTGAACATGAGAAATACTGTGGTGTATTTTCTGAAACCTTGGCCTTGGCTGCTGACAGCTCCAACAACTTCTGCCTCAACCCTCCTGAGAGCTCCGTGGGCATTCACAGATTAATATTCATAAATCCATGGGCTGTCAGCTAGTTATTTTTTCCCTGATTTATGGAGGGAAGTGTTGCCCACAGTGTTATGGGAAATGTGCTGATGAGTTGAAATTAGATTTCAGCTTTCATGGTGTTTCATCCTGTGTGTGACCACCAAACCATTCTTCCCACCACAGGAGCCCTGAGTGCTGCTGCCATGAGAGTCCTCACTCTCCTCTGCTGAGAGGGCCTGGCTTTGTCTTGTGTGTTGCAACAGTTGGGGTTTTTTGTGTGTAGTGCCCCTACAGCCAATTTCTAACCACTGAAGTGGGTTTCAGGCTTCTGAAATCCAGACAGAAGGATCCTTGTTCAGCACAAGTCAGATGTCTGAGGTAGATACTGTCCTGCTGCTGAGGGTTGCAGGATGCTGTGGAATATCTCAGCCCTGCTGCAGCCTCTGGCACATGCACTTGAACTCAGTGGATGAGGAAATGAGCCTTTTTTTTTTTTCCCCTGAAAATCATTTGCTTTGTTGAAATGGAAGCCTAAGAAATTGAACATAAGTGCACAGCCCACAGGTTCCTGCCCAGCACACAGGACTTGCTCCAGCTCACATCTATTGAGTATCTGAACCTTTCACTGTAGTTCATTAAACCCTTGGTGATCTTTTTTTTTGTTTGGTTGGGGTTTTTTTCCATCTAGATGTACATCCAAGCCTACAAGCCAGCCAACCTGAAAATGAAAATAATAAAAAATGACTACCACAATCACCCACTCTACTTGGAAGGGGCTTTGAGCAAAAGCACTCATTACCAGCAGTATCAGCCAGTTGTAACTCTGAGGAAAGGCTACACCATCCACTGGGACAAGACAGCCCCTGAAGAGCTGGCCATATGGCTCATCAACTTCAACAAGTGAGTGAACTGAATCCCAGCATTCCAGTACAGTCATGTAACTGCACATTTTTAATGGGTGAGGTCATCACCTCATGAGCTCTTCCAGAATGAACATGCCTGTTACAGGAAGTCCATTGAGTTCATCTTTTCATGAGCCATCTCAGGTTCCTGTTTCCTCCCCCAGGAAGCTCTGTAAGATAACACAGTTCATTTTTGGAGCTTCAGAGCTAATTCATTCCTGGTGCATGGAAATCACAGGTGTAGAAGTCAGGAGCAGATCTGCCCTAATTGCTTAACTAACCTATGGTTGTTATGTCTAATTTATGTTGCATTAATCCATTGTAAACCATGAAAATTTTAACTGGACAGGAAAAAACTTTTTGTAAATTATTTACTTTGGCTTCTAGCATGCCCAGGAAAAGAATAGTTATGCTATAACTTGTTACAATGTGGTCCTTTGCTATTTTTAGGAATGACTGGATCCAAGTAGGGTTTTGCTATCCTAAAGGGACGACATTTTCCATTCTCTCAGACATCCACAACCGTCTCTTGAAGAAAACATACAAAACTGGCACCTTCTACAGAACCTCCCAAATGGAGAAACTGGAGCACAGATACCCCACCAAAGGGTACTACTACTGGGATGAGGACACTGGGTAAGACAGCAGGCCTTGCTGCCTTGGACACTGCTTTGGGAATGCTGCTGGAGCTGTGAGCTGTTTGCCTCATGCCCCTAGCGGGGATTGCAACCAAACCAGGAAGGTTTTCTGGGAATGTGACCAGTGTTTAATTTTCCTGGGACTCCCAGGCCTGCCACTCATTCACAGCCTCTGCTGCACTGCCAATTACTCTGGTAAAGGCCTTTCCAAGTGAATACAAATTAGAAAAGGAAAAAAGAAAAAAAAAGAGAAAGACAAAAGCAAAGTGCTGACCACAAAACTTAACTGAAGACATGCACAGCCCTTATTGTTTTGAACAAAAACTATTTATAAACACCATGGCAAGGATGCACAGGAATTAGGTGCAAAGCCTGTTGTTTTAAAGGATTAAAATAATGGGAAAGAAAGAAAGACCTAAAATACAAAGCATGTATTTCTACATATGTATCACCATGGAATAGAGCTCAGAAGGTGTTCAGGTGCTATCTGATTTCTCTGTTTTACTTTCCATAATACTCCCTAAACCATTTCTGGGATGAGTGTTTCCTTTTATTTGCATGTGGGATGTTGGGCACTATAAAACACAGGGCCAAGGGCTGCAATGAACATTATTGTAAACCGTAGGAAAGAGACCACCAAAACAGTATGTTTTTGCATAAAATGTTTGAAGGACGCTGTTTATTTTTTTTTTCCTGCCTGCAGGTTGCTGTTTCTGAAACTCAAAGCTCAAAATGAGAAGGAGAAGTTTGCTTTCTGCTCTGTAAAGGGCTGTGAGAGAATAAGAATCAAAGCTGTGATCCCAAAGACAGCTGGTGTCAGCGACTGTGAAGCCACAGCCTACCCCAAGTACATTGAGACACCAATAGTGGAAGTGCCAATGCCAAAGAAGCTCTCCAGTGCCCAACTGGTAAAGCAGCTGCTTTCTTATCACAGAATCATTGCTCACGTAAATCTGGCACATATTGAGCCCACAGATAGAGAAAAACTTTGTGCTAGGGTCAGCATATGCTGTGCCTGATTTTCTGAAATGGTTCAGGCAGGTGAAATAATATGAAACAGATTCTTGGAATGTATGGAGAGCCATTGCAAGCTGTATACTTGTTCTTTTGGGGCTCTGATGTGACGTGCTGTTCTTGAAAGCACAGGGTGAAAACTGATGAGCTGGAGACAGGTTGGTCCAGTGGATGTGATTTTGAAGCCTCCAGCTCCTCCAGGCTGTAAGGACAGCAGTGACAGAGGACTGAATAGTAGAGTTGAATTATTGTCATTTATATAATGCATAACACAATCTCCAGTATGCAGTCTGGTTCTGGGGGAGGAATTGGGGTATTTATCTGTTATTTGGGTTTTTTCACTCATCGCCCTTGAAACAGGAATACACAGCAAAGCCTTGGAGAATTATGTGTCAGTTCTGCAAAGTAAGAATCACTCTGCCATTCAGTGAAACAGCTTAACTGGTGACAGGATGAGCAGAGAGGTTACCATTGTGCCCAGTTTCATAAGGAATTTAATTTGGCAGGTCAGTGGTTATTAGGTAGCTTCCTTGTTGATTGAATTTCAGGGTTTGAAATGTTTTCAGTGAAGATGCAGCATTCAGGTAATGGACATTCTCACTAGAAAATCTGGGGTTTTTTGTTTTGCAAACAGAAGACCAAGGACCACCTAATTGAAGTGAAAATAGAGACGTACAAGAAACAGTACTTCCACCTGAAGGATGACTTTGCATACATTGAGGTGAGCAAATCCTCTCAATGAACTTAATGGGATGCAATTCTACACCACTTGCTTTATCTTCATGGAAAACTTGATTACAAAGTTACCATGGAGAGTTAAATTTGGGTCATTTCTGCTTTGTATTTTGGGGGAAAAAAAAAGGGCAGTATCTTGTCCTGATAGGCAGGATAGTAGGATCTCAGAGACCTGGAATTCTGCCCTTTGAAGCAAACAGCAGTCCCGTGACTCAAGACTATCAGTGCTCCTTATAGGTGGTTGTTTGCAATTGTGTTACTGTGAGAGATGAAGAATGTTTTTCCCCCTACCCAGGTTGATGGTGTCAGGTTTTTCCTCACTGAAGAGGGCATCCAGCTGGTTGTGATTGATGGACACCATGGAAAAGTTGTTGATCGAGTAACATTCAAAAACTCCATTCTACAAGGAATCCCAGCACAGATAGAGAATTATGTCAACAACATCAAAGATCAGTGAGTAAATAATCTGTTCTCACTAAGGCGGAATGTACAAGAATGCATAACACTCATCTTTTTCTTGGATTTTATCACCCAACATGGGCCAGACACCCAACAGCAGAACAATATACCCAATGTATTTTTGTGCCTGATGACTCCAAAAGAGCCCAAATGTGTGCAGGGCATGCAGGCAGCAGCAGAATGCACACTCTGATTCAGGGACTGATTGAGCCCCAGATACTGTGCAGGGCTGCATGTGATTAATAAACTGCAGAGCTACATTTATGTTGTGGGTTATAGACAAACTGCAGACTTAAATTCACAAACCAGGGAGGAAAGTGCTCTGACTTTTCACCCATTTACACACCTCTTTGTTTCCTTCAGCTCCATAGTGCTGGTGACATCTAAAGGAAGATTCATTTCAAGAGGACCATGGACTAAAGTACTGGAGAAACTTGGAGCAGGAAAGGGTTTTAGGTTAAAAGGTAACCAGTTTTTAAAAACTAATTTCTAACCTCCCATTATTCTAGTAAAGGGATATTTTTTCTGCTTCTGAACTTCGCCTTGCTTGTTTCTATCAGCATGTGCTCAAACATCCTGGAACCAGTAATGTATTTATTCAGGAAGGTTGTATCCACTGCAGCTTTGGGTAACATGCTCAGTTTAAAACTGTAAATAGAAAAAACACACTGACCATTCTTCTTTGAAGTAAATAATTCAGGAGATTTGATTTTCCAGATTAAGCTTAGATGAAAAGACTTTTTAATAATAGAAATATTGAGCCTTTTTACCCACTAAATGCCCCAAACCAGGATTTTTTATTTGTCTATACTTGTTTTTAGCTGGTTTTCTCTTGAAACATTCTGACTTGATGGCACAAAGCATGTTGATTTCAGAGCATCACATACTGCATTAGAATACAGCTCCACATGCACATTGCTGCAATCAGCTCTGCCAGCTTTTGGCATGATTCCATCTGTGTGTGTGCATGTTGCACACATGGCTCTTGTGCACCTGCAGCCCTCCAGCCATGAGGTGTAGCCATGCACACAGGTGGGTTTCTGGCGCAGTCCTGGCACACTCCAAACACATTTGCTCTGATTTGCAGAAAAAATGGCTTTTGTCGGCTTCAAAGGCAGCTTCCGCCCCGTCTGGGTGAAGCTGGTCACGAACGAGGACTCGGCCAAAATCTACCAAGCACTGCCAATTCCTGTGGTGAAGAAAATGAAGTTGTGAGGGCACCCTGCTGTGCCTGCTGGCCGCCAGCACCACCCCGTGGGATGGACGGACAAACGGACGGACGGTCGGACTACTGACCGCTCTGCGCAGGCCTCACCCGCCCGCGCCACCGGCGTAGCATTTTGTTGTTGTTGTTGCTGTTCAAAAGGAAATCTCACTGTAAGTAGCTGGAGGGGCCACACGTGAGAGTGGAGCTGTGCTCGGGGCCGCCGGGCCGGGCCGGCTCGGGCGCTGAGGCCGCTCTGGCGGCACCGAGCAAGGCCTGGGCTGTTTCTGCAGGCGCTGCTTCTGCCAGCGCTCCTGGGACACACTGGTGTTCGTGCTGCCTCGTGAAGGGGAGCTCTTGGTCTGAAGACCGTCAAGGATTGTTGCTTCCACCATCCTCTAAGGTGACTTTTCCTTTTCCGTAGTGTAACTAGCTGCTCACGCAGACTGGAATGCCAGTTCAAAGACTGGTTGACAATCTGGTGGAGAAAGAGTGGATTTGAGTGATTTCCTGGGTGCTGGGAAGTGTAACTGGACAGTAAGCATTTCCCCTAAAACTTCTGTGAGGTTTGGTCAAGCTCTTTGGGGTGTGTGTTGTACATGCAGCCCACGGCACATAGTTGGGGAAGAAATGACAGAAGGAGTGGACAAAACATGCCAGCAGAGACTGATGGAACCACCTATTCCTGCTTCCTCAGAAAACCACGTTTTTCCTATGGATCAAGGAGTTTTAATAGTGGCTGTGCAAACAGGAAATTTTCCTTCAACAAGCAGCTGCAGGCTAGAAGGAGAGCAATGTCAATTAGCGCATGTATTTTCTCAGCCTTTCCCATTCAGCCTTTCCCTCTGTATAATGACATGCAGAATCAGTTTATGATTGCCAGCTAATGCCATCCCAGTTCAGGGCCTCAAATTTTTGATTGGGAATACTGGGACTTACCTTATTCAGCATCAAATAGGGTGAGCTGCCCTCACCTTTCCCAGGACATCAGGGGGAACAGGATCAGACTGCTCTGCTGTGTGTTGCTTTCTGATCCTGTCTTCAGGCTAAAGATATTATGTCTTGGTCCTCCTGTAAGAGTTACATGAGAACTGGTTGAGGTCTTTCCAGGAGGCTGAAGAATTAAGGTGGGAATCCCAATGAACTAGTTGGATGTCTTGTACCTCCTTTCCCTCTGCTTCTAACGAAGACCTGGGTAATGATGGCAGATCAGAGCGGATCAGGACTTTACAGGGGCATCTCTTGAAGGTGGGATGTTAACATTACCTTGTAAAACACTGAAAGCATTTCTAGTGTTCAGTGATATTTCTGTCAGTTGCTCCAAAATACCACACAGGCATTTCTGGAGGCTGTGGCTGTTCTAAGAAATCTGAGGGCAGGGGGGAAGTGTGAAAGACATCATGACAAGCTTTTAAAAAATGTCAATCTTGCCAGTAAGACTTGGGTTTATTTCCCCACTTTATCTCTGCCTGTCCCCACTGCCACATAAATTATTCCAATTGCTGATGGCTACTTTGTTTGTTAATTAGGTTTTTCTTTTTCCCCACAGTATAAAAAATGTTACCTTGAAGTTAGACTAAAAAGAAAGGATTTTGTTTGTCATTCCAAAGGCTGTGCAGATACTGGTTTAGATAAGTTGCTCTGAATGTCAAAGCAAGCATGAACAAAATTTAGATATACTGTAGGTTACATTCCACTCAAGCCTCTCCTGGGTTTTGAAACTGGAAATGTTCTTTTCAGACTTGCTACAAAATTGTTTTGCATTCACTGAATGTCACATGTATTGTATTTAACAAAAAAAAAAAAAAAAAAAGAGCCAAGCATTCCCTCCCAGCTTCCCAACAAGAGTCTGGTAATGAATGCTCCTTATGCTCCTTAGGCATTTGTGCTGTTTGCAGAGTGAATGGGCAACATTTAAAAAAGGCAAATAAGGTGGGTTGTTTATCCCCCAAAATTCTTATGATAGTTTGGGGATTTCACAAATTATTCCATGAAAGAGTCAGTCTCACTGGTGTTTCAACCATGATCATCCAAAACATTTATCTGATGTCCTGTGATGGCCACAGCAGTGCCAGATCCATGAAGCCAAGGGAAGAGACTAACAGGAATTCCCCTGGGTCTGTCAGTTTGGGTTGTCTAAACCTTTTCCCTGCCCTGAGCCAGTGCTGTTGATTGCAGTAGTTTTGGTGGAACACATTTGCTTCCAGGAGATGGACCAAAGCAGGAGTATTTCCTCCAGGAGCACGTAGCAGATGGTGGGCAGGAAAGCCAGGCTTGGGATGTGCCTGGAGTGGGATTTGGCTGTGTACAAGCCCCAGTGCCGGGGTTGCCCTCTGCAGTGCTCCACTGGCCGCAGCCATTTCCCCTCTCCTGCTCCCTCTAAGAGTGTAAACACCCTGGAGCACCCCACCAGGTGGGTCTGTCCCCAAACTGCCTTGTTCAGCTTCTAGGAGCACATTGCCTTTGTGCTGAAGTGTAGCTTCTGATTTTGCTGTTTTGGGAATTCTCAGGGTGAAAGGATAAGACTTGGCTCTAGGAAAAAACCTTTTTCTTTTCCTTTCTTAAAAGATCTCACCTTATTAAGAGAGAAAACTTAAGCAGCTTGTCCTGTGATGCTGAGCCTGGCACATGGGGCCTGTTTTGGAGCTGGGGAGGGTCTCCTGCTGTGAATACCTGCAGGGAATCACTGCAGGCTGCCAGCCCGAGGGGCAGCAGAGCATCGTGGCTGTGTGCAGGGAAATGCTCCTGGTGACCTGCACGGCCTGGAGCCATCCTGTGTCCTCTGGAGGCAGAATGGAGCCTGCTGCCATCTCCAGTCAGCAAGAGCCCTGTGCCAAGTGATTCCTGTTCAGCCTCTGATTGTTCTAGAAACTCTTTTCACTCACTCTGACCAGTGAATTCCCCAACTGCTCGTCCTCTGTCCTCATGAGCTGCAGTGACCCTCTCTGCAAGGTTTGATTCCTGCAGATGTTTCCATGTTTGCCTACACAGTTGCCATTGGTGGAGTGGGGGTTTTTTGGTTGCATTTTGTTTGTTTGTCTCTTTGTTTGTTCGGGTGTTTGGGTTTTATTGCCTCTGTTCAACTGCTTGTTTTACCTGTCGCCGAAACAGCTGGTCCTTTTTCGGAGTTAGATGTTTGTACATTTTCTTATAGACTTTCCAATGAAAAAAAAGATATATTTTCTATTAATTTATTACAATGGCACTAAGACAACTAAATTGCAGACATATGAAGCATTTTTACTGGAGTTGAGCATTGTCCAGTTTGTTAAGGAGGTTGGCAATGTGTCTTTTCTGATAATCTGCTTTGCACTTGAAAGCTCTCTACGTCCACAGACCGTGGTGGTGCATTGACTGTCGGGTTTATGATGACAAGAGCTCTTGGGACGTCGTTTCCAAAAGATTGTGGCTTACAACTGAAATAACACGTAGTTGTTTGGAGTACACAATGTTTATCAAAATAAATATTCAGTGCAAATTTCTTATTTTATTTTTGTCTCCCTACTTATTTCAAAAGAGAAAAGCCAAGGGGCCAAGCAGTCTCTGTCTGCATTTGCTGGCTGTTCCACACAGACCAGAGCACCTTTCACTGCCTGGTCACAGCTGCAGGATCTGAGAGAGGCGGACAGGAAGGGAAGGAGATGGGGATGGGAAGGGGGATATCACAGCCATGGGAAAGGCCTGTATTTGGGGCAGGTGGGGCACTATGGGGTGACAGGACAGGAAAATGGAAATGCACCCAGCTCGAGGGGCTCAAAGGGAGATGTGAAGAGGGTTCCCCCTGCACTTCAACTCCTGCCATCAGTGCTGTGCCACTGCTGCCCTGTGTGTGTGTGCATGTGTACCTGTGTATTTGGGATGGCTGAGCGGATCTGTTACCTAAGATTGAAAAGCATAAAAATACAGTATAACTTAATATATTTCATAAAACATAACATGATTTAATATTTAGATTGTATATTACAAAGATAATATAAATATTAAAAGACTATTATAGACTAGAAGAGAATGGAATCGTTTATCTTGGAAAAGACCCCTAAGGTTATTGAGTCTAACCATCATAACCAAGCATTCCAAAGTCCAGTGATCAGAAATGCCGCATTATAACGTATTATAGTTTATTCTATATGTATAATATAATATAATATAATATAATGTTATATTATAGTATAGTATAGTATATAACATTATATATAATATAATATATTATATTATATATAATGTTATAATATATATAATAACATTATAATAGATATATTATAACATTATATATTAATTACATTACATTACATTATATTATTTATATTATATTATATTATATTATATTATATTATATTATATTATATTATATTATATTATATTATATTATATTATATTATATTATATTATATTATATTAATTATATTATATTATATTATATATATTTTTCCCCGGAGCAGGCCGTTCCCTGTCCGCGGGCGCCCTCTCGCGGCCCCGGCCGGGCTCGGCTCCCGGCGCTCCCTTCCCGACCGAGCCGTGAAATTCCTGCGAGTCTCTCCCGGGCATCAAGTTCCCAAGGGAGCTGTCCCAGCTCCTGCTGCCAGCTGCGAGGTGTAGGGAGGCTCCCTCCGCTGCCTCCCAGAGTTTTTATTCTCCGCAGCCCCGTGGGGCACAGGGCGCTCTGTCTGTCCGTGTCCCCAGGCTCAGCGCTGTTCGAGCAGCGCTTGCGGCCTTGGCAGCAGCCGCCATCACCCGTGCAGACGCTGAGGCCGCTGCGGTGAGCCCCGGCTTTCTCAGCCTGCAAGGGCGATCCCGCAGCTCTCTCAGGGGCTGTTCTGCCACTCCCCTTCTGAGCAAAGGATGGGAGAGGGATGTGCACAAACCAGGGCTGCAGCCACACCCTTGTTCCTTCGCAGAACCCCTGCAGGAGCTGCTCGCTGTGCTGCTCCCTCAGCGTGGAGCCGAGCCCAGCCAGTACACTCACTAACAACACTAACACAGTAACACTAACAACAAAACCCCAGCGAGAGCTGCAGCGCTCTGCAGACGGATCTGTCTGC